TATTTTCTAAAAATAGTAAAAATTGGAATTGGGTTTAGTCTAGGTCATACTGAAGAGAAATCTCTAAAGAAGAGTCTTTAAAAAATTCAAATAAATCGGTTCAGTAGAAGTTGAGAAATCGTAGGTATCGTATCGAAAAGACAGTTTCGAGAAAAACTCGTCTAACATTTTCCTAAAGAGAGAATTAATATTGTGATCTAACAGCTTTATCTCCTAAAATAACGTTATTTTAAAAACCCTCTTCTATATATATTTTTAAAGAGTTACACTTAAACAATAAAAAAGATTTCTTGAAATATCTATACTAGAACATATAAAAATGTTCTTATCTTTAAATTATAAGAAATATTAGTTTTGGATAAAATATTATTTTTTTTGAAATATTTGATATATCTTCTCATGTTTTTAATAAATTTAAAAATGTATAGAAAAATAAGATGTTAATTAAAAATTAAATACCATCGTTTTGTTTATTCAAGTATAGTGCAGATATGTACTTTTTATAATTAAGAAATAATAAAATACTAATTAAAAATACCAATTCATACTGGTGGTAAAAGTGTGTTTTTTTTTAAATAAGTATGGAATATACATTTATGGAATCTCTCTATAAAAAGACATCAACTTTCTGGACTTGGTTCAAAACAATTAGACTCATTTACATAATATATTAATTAATACAATTTATCACCATTCTCAAAAATGAGAACCAAAACTAACTATAAGCTTTTGTTTTATAGGTATATTCATAAGTATAGATATTGATTTTATATAGCAAGTAACGTTTCAAAAACACAAATTCCTCACGTTGATAACTTTTTTAAGTATTTTTATATATAATTTAAATTATTTTAGGTTTACTATCCCGAGGCAGTAAAGATCTAAAAGGGCTGTTAAAGTAATCGTCGATCTTGTTGCAATTGCAGCTCAGGTAAGAAGAACTATAAATAATACTATATATATAAATATATATATATATATATATATATATATATGTATATATATATATATATATACATATATAATATTTATAATATTTGTCAATTTTTTAGTTTCAGCCAATTTTTTAGGATAAGAATGGACACTTTCAATTTTCGCAAGCCATTTTTAACCATCATATAGCAAAAACTGATTTCAAGTTATTGATTTGTATTATTTTGTACAGATTTTATTTTTAAGATGTTTTTTTTTTCATTTTAAACATATCTCATTTTAAATTAAATTTTGAGAGATTTTTTTCACGTAATATTTATAAGTATTTTTTTTTTTCCGCGACTTTCCGGGCTTTGTGCATTTAACCTGATTTGGCACGTCGTTCCAGGTTGACGGCAAACGCGCTATTACACATTTGCCGGACTTTGTAAAACCAAATTTTTTAAAACTAGCAAGAAATTAACAGGATTATTTTTGTACTTATTATTGTTTTATCCTTTGATGAATAATAAAGAATAAAGGCTAATATTTTGAATCATTTGATACACTTGTATGTATAAAATAGTGCGAAGTTACTTAGTGTACATATATCAACTTTGACTCATTAAGTATAAAGTCTTGTATAGATATTAAATTCAGTACAATGTTGTCCATAATCAACTTTAGTAAGTAATATTGCTTTAAATGGGTACAAATTTTATAAAAAAAATCTAGTTAAAATAAATATTGACAATGGGATAAATATTGCTTTTTAAAAAATCCGGAACTATAATAATTTGAGACTGTTATTGGCATTATATTTGAAAAGCTCGTGTTTTACTTAGGACAATCATAAAAATCGTTAATATTACGTCGTAAAAATATATTTAGCATGTCATGCATCTAGTATATATTATTAATTTTGTTAGTAATTTTATTAGCTCAGAGTTCAGTTTAAAAACAAAAATCAGACCATACAATTTAACATATTCAAGTATGAAAATTGGACACTGTGATATTGGAAACTTATTAGTTTCGGGTGGTCTTTTTACAATTTGTGTTATGTATATGTATATGTATTTAATTCACACATATTTCATATTATCTGTAGGTTTATCACACGTGATATTATATTATATTATGAAATTGTAACGCTCCAATTACATTACAAGACATTCGCATTGCGTTCAGAAAGTGTCTACGCCTTGTCGTTGATAATAGACAGACAGCTAGTAAAAAATTTCAAAATTTAACAAATTCAATTAACAACCCTTCAAATCCATTAAATATAAATATTTAATAATTTATCAAAAATAAAAAAGACTGTCTTGTAACCATGCAAATACCATGCAAAGCACTCTTGTTGCAGAAGACATAGGACCAATTATTATTAGTTCGTCGTTAGTATTGTCGCCAAATTTAATTACCACTAAATTTCTATCGGTTTCATTGTTATGCTACATAATTTATATTTGCATAGCATTGTCATCATTACATCTATCATATATGATCATTTATTAAACAAACTTAATATATTGTAATCACTTTGAATGAATGAAGTTTTCACGTTGAAAATCATTAAGGGGCACAACTAGTGTAACCGCCTAAAAAGGTGAATTTTGGGAATTTATATTAAAAAAACTACTTTATCAATCTGTTCTGAATTTTGGGATATATTTATACATGTTTTAAGAATACAGAGTAATAATTTTAAAGAAAAAAATTAAATATTTTTTAAGTTATCGTCGATCTCCAACAGCACGACAAAAAAAGGCCCTTCACTGCTGCAGTGATTCCGGCCTTCTACGTGGATGAAATTTGAAAAAAAAATCTCGTTAAACTAGATAATATTGTCTGTAAAATGAACTATGATAGAGAAAAAAAATCAAAAATTGATAAAATGACGGCGTTTTTTAAAAAAAAAGTCGAATTTTACCCAAAATTTTGGTCGTTTTTGGACTGCCAAAATTTGATTTTTGATCCGATCAAAAAATCGATAGTTCATTTTACGGAGAACTATATATAAAACATGTAAAAAAATTGATAGTGATCGAATCATTTGTTTTTGAGTAATCGCTGCAGCAAATTTGGAAATGCTGTTTCGAGAAAAACGCGTTTAAAGATTAAATAATCGTTATACTTTATAATATATACTCTTTAAATGGCTGTTATTCAATAACTATTTAAGATGTCGATTTAAAATTTTGGTATGTTATTTTTAAAAGTAAAACCTATCGAGATATGAAAAAATTGAAAATTCGATTTTTTGAAAATTTTACACTAGTTGTGCTCCTTAATTCAACTAGTTGTACATAGCCAAGTATTTTCATACTTGCTAGTAGCTCCTTTGTGTTCAACTAAATTTTTCATGCGTAAAATTGATGGAAAATCACGAAATTTCTTGTAAAATGATTTTCTCAAATATATTACTATTGGCTCTCGTTCAATGATTTATGTATATCTATATATGGATTTATCTATCGAGTTCTTGTACTTTCACAGGTGACCGGCTTTGTTGTGTGGCCACTTCTGGAAGGCAAAGCCGAGCTCTGGCTAATTCCGATCAGTATCGCCTGCATATCTTGTGGCTGGTGGGAGAATTATGTCTCTGATCAGAGCCCTTTAGGTAATAAAATAATTAGAATAAAAAGGATAATAGAAATATAGAGTTATTTGACAAAAACCAAAAAAATGCCCGAAATTTCTGCTAAATGCTAAAGAATGTGAAAGATCGAATTCAAAGGCGTTTTATCCTAAAGTTTTATATCGGAGTGTATATAAATGTTGGTACGGAATCGTAGTAAAATTTATCTAGTTTCTCCCTATCTAACTGAAAAGGGATGCTTTCATATGCTATTTGTGAGTTATTAGGTTGTCAAATATCTCCCTTCCGCTTTTTTGCTCTTGGTTTATAATACAAAAAGGCGGAAGGGAGATATTTGACAACCTAATATTTGACAAAAACCAAAAAAATGTTCCGAATTTTCTATTTATTTCCAAAGAATAATGAAAGATCGAATACAAAGTCGTTTTATTCCAAACTTTTATATCGAAGTGTATATAATTGTTGGCATGGAATCGTAGTAAATTAACTGATTAATTAATAATAAAAGTAGGGGTGCAAAACAATATAGATAAAGAAGGATACTTATATCTTTTTGATACAAAATCTGTAAAATCCGTCATTGTATTATTAAATATTTTTGACTGCGTCTTATCAAGAATATATCATTCTAAGACTTATAATTACGACACACAAGATTTTTTAATAAAATACATTAATTTCTTTATTTCACATTACAAATGTATCTGAATACATGAATTAAAAAAAATAAATAAAACATATTAAAAAAATATAAATAAAACATTTTTTGGCATAAAATACTTTTGTAAGAGACAAACCATCAAAATCAACCGAAATATTCAGGTTTTTTTTTAGATAAAGTATAATAATATAGAATTGATCTATGATTTGTTTTATGCTCTTATTTATTTTAATGAATTGATAATGTTTGACTCATCACATCACAAAAGCGACTTTTGACACAAATGACTTATAATATTTTTATATTACAAATGTATCTGAATACATTAATTAAAAATTAAAAAAAATAAAACTTTATTTTTTGGCAAAAAATATTTTTGTAATAGACAAACAACTAAAATCAACAGAAATATTTATGTTTCTTGTTTTAAATATATTCTATAAATATATAGAATTAATCTTTGATATATTTTATATCATTGTTAAATTAAATTTTTATAAGATAGTCTATAAAATCTAGATAGGTTGACCGTTGGGTTGCATAAACAGCGTTAAAAAATGTTTTTACCATCAAAAGAATTTAAAGATTTACAAGTCTTAAATAAACTATCTCAATATTATAACTTTTTTCCAAGTTATTGCATTACATAATACTAATGTTAGGCTTGATATTATTTTAGAGTTGTATTTTACTGTAATTAATTCAATTGAAAAAATTTATATCCTGTAATTACTAAATTTAATTTTGTATCCGTAATATAAATAAATAAATATAAATATAAATATAAATATAAATATAAATATAAATATAAATATAAATATAAATATAATATAATTAAATATAATATAAATATAAATCTAAATATAAATTAAATATAAATATCAATATAATATAATATCCCTATAAATATAAATCTAAATCTCCCTCTCCTCTCCTATCCTCTCCCTCTCCCTCTCCCTCTCCTCTCCTCTCCCCTCTCCCTCTCCTCTCCCTCTCCCTCTCCTCCCCTCTCCTATCCTATCCCTCTCCCTCTCCCTCTCCCTTCTCCTCTCCCTCTCCCTCTCCCTCTCCATCTCACTCTCCCTCTCCTCTCCCTCTCCCTCTCCCTCTCCCTCTCCCTCTCCCTCTCCCTCTCCCTCTCCCTCTCCTCTCCCTCTCCCTCTCCCTCTCCCTCTCCCTCTCCCTCTCCCTCTCCCTCTCCCTCTCCTCCCCTCTCCCTCCCCTCTCCCTCTCCCTCTCCCTCTCCCTCTCCCTCTCCCTCTCCCTCTCCCTCTCCCCTCTCCTCTCCCTCTCCCTCTCCCTCCCCTCTCCCTCTCCCTCTCCCTCTCCCTCTCCCCCTCCCTCTCCCTCCCCTCTCCCTCTCCCTCTCCTCTCCCTCTCCCTCTCCCTCTCCCTCTCCCTCTCCCTCTCCCCTCTCCCTCTCCCTCTCCCCTCCCTCTCTCCTCTCCCTCTCCCTCTCCCTCTCCCTCTCCCTCTCCCTCTCCCTCTCCCTCTCCCTCTCCTCTCCCTCTCCCTCTCCCTCTCCTCTCCCTCTCCCTCTCCCTCTCCCTCTCCCTCTCCCTCTCCCTATCCCTCTCCCTCTCCCGGCATCCGCGCTCTCAAAACAGAAGTTCTGATTGCTTTTAATAATGAGAATAAAAAATAACGTTTTGACTTGATGACATTTTAATTTCTGGCAATTTAAAAAAAATGTTGAAAACTGTTCAGAAAAATATTTAACAAAATACACGAATAAAATTTAATTTGATTCACAACTTTATGTGAAATAATACTATGTTGTGTATATGAGATACAGTAATTAATTTAGTTTACAATGAAAATTTTATACCATTAAATTAAATTTTAAATTAAATTAAATTTATGAAATTTTATTTAATCTTTTACCGTGATAATTTTAATAATATACTTAATTACATACTTTATTTTTTAACTTGCCCATGGAGAAACTTACGTTTTAGCTAGAAAATTTGGTTTGCTAATTATATTTTATTTTAATTATTTATTTATTAATTTTTGATTCAAGTCTGCAGTGTGAATTAATACAAAAAAGTAAACAAAAATATATTTAATATTCCTACACATATTAATATTTTATTTCTTATGAATTTTACTGTATTATCTCATTTTTTTGTTTTTTTTTACCCAGGATTTATGAAAAAATTAGGTCGCATGAAAGAAAACATGAAGCACTCTCGATATTTCTGTTATATATTTATTAGCGTTTGGAAACTAGTCGTATTTTTTGGATCATTACTTTTTATCATTTGGGCAAAAGGCGACGACGTCGGCAACTTTTTCCTCATGTTTAAGTCAGGATTTGGAGATCACAAAATAATCGTCGAAGAAGTCGTAAGTATAATAGACATATGTAATTTATTATTATTAAGATAATATATATATAATAATTATTTTTATTATAATATTTTTTTCCTCAGGTTCAACAGTTTCAAAGTGGTACTATATTATCTGATGCAAGTGAAATAGCTCAACAAGGCGATTCGATTGACAAAATGGCTGCAAACAACGCACCAATATTTTTGCTTATTATCCAAATTTTGTCGGCGTATTTTTGTTACGTCTTCGGCAAATTTGCTTGCAAAATTTTAATCCAAGGTTTCAGCTACGCTTTTCCTGTAAATCTTACCATACCAGTTTGCATATCTCTTCTGATAGCAGCTTGTGGTATAAGAAATGGTGATCCTTGCTTTTTCCATGGTACATTACCTGATTATTTATTCTTCGAAAGTCCACCAGCCTATTTTTTGGAGGAGTTTTTGTCAAGGCAAATGGCCTGGGTTTGGCTGCTCTGGTTGTTATCACAAACTTGGATAACTTTGCATATTTGGACACCGAAATGTGAACGTTTGGCGACTACTGAAAAATTATTTGTATCGCCAATGTATAATGCACTTTTGATTGATCAATCTATGGGGTTGAATAGACGTAGAGACGATCAAGCCGATGTCAAGACTGAGGTAATAAAAATCAATTAATTAATCTAAAGTACAATTTTACTGTTTTTCTAGTATTACTTTATAATTCAGAATTTTTATTTATTTTATATATTAATTTTTATTTTTATTATTATTTGCTTTTATTTTATATTAAATCCTTCGTTTAACCACAAATCGCTCCACCTATAATAAAATTGACGATAGATTTTGTAATAGTAAAATATTATACGATGTTCGATATTTTTCGGTTTTGAGCACCGTTATTTAGTTTGCAATAGGTAAATAATTTTTTAGTATGCTTTAGTTAATGGTTTTGTGAGGTTTAACAGTTAACAGTTTTTTCATAAAATTGCTCTCAAAAATCAATAAAATTTGTTATAAAATACTAGTCAGATATAATTTTATCAAAATTCGTTATCTTTTGTTGTTGGTTTTTAAGGAGCTCTCATGGACGCACCGTTTGTACTACAGTCTTGAAATTTTTCAATATAATTAAACAAAATTTCTATTTTAACAACAAATACTAAAATCAATAACTTTAGTTATAACATACAATTTAAAAATAATTTTATCAAACATTTCTTGATTAGTGCACAAGTTCATGTAAACAGTTGTTGGTTTTTAAGGAGCTCTCAGGGACGCACCGTTTGTACTACAGTCTTAAAATTTTTCAGTACAATTAAACAAAGAGTCTATTTTAACAACAAATACTAAAATCGATAACTCTTGTTATAAAATACGACTTAAAGGTAATTTTATCAAACAATTCTTGACTAGTACACAAGTTCATGCATACAGTTCTTAGATTTTAAGGAGCTCTCAAGGACGCACCGTTTGTACTACAGTCTTGAAATTGTTCAGTATAATTAACCAAAATGTCTATTTTAACAACAATAATTAAAATTAATAGTTCTTGTTATAAAATCCGTGTTATAAGTAAATTTAATAGATATTTCTATTCATACTCTATTTTTATTAGTTGCGAATCGACGGTTGGATATGATATAAGCGGTACTTTTGAAAAATGTTTTAAAAATATACAATATTATACTAGAGCTATGAAATTTTAGTATGTTATTACCTAATATATGTACTCAATTATAAAAATATAAAATCACATATGTTTCTGACAAAAAAGCTATAAATGTGCAATTTTATAAACAAATGCGCTCTTGCATATATAGTTTCCAATAATTGCTAGTCCACAGTTTGATGAGTATTTTGAAAAATATTTAAAAATATAAAACGTTATACTAGAGTTACAAAACTTTAGTATGTTATTTCTTAATATGTGTACTAAATTATAAAAATATAAAATCACACAAGATTCTCTTAAAAACAGCTAAAATCAATAACTTTTGTTATAAAATACGACTTAAAAGTAATTTTATCAAACAATTCTTGACTAGTACACAAGTTCATGCATACAGTTATTGGTTTTTAAGGAGCTCTCAGGGACGCACCGTTTGTACTACAGCCATACAATTTTTCAATATAACCAAACATAATTTCTATTTTAACAACAAACATTAAAATCAATAACTTTTGTCATAAAAAACAATTTAAAAGTAATTTTATCAAAAATTTCTTGACCAGTGTACAAGTTCATCCATGGTATTGGTTTTTGAGGAGCTCTCAGGGACACACTGTTTGTACTACAGTCTTAAAATTTTTAAATATAATTAAAAAAAATGTCTATTTTAACAACAAATAATAAAATCAATAACTTTTGTTATAAAAAACAATTTAAAAGTAATTTTTCAAAAATTTCTTGAGTTTATGCCTACAGTTGATTTTCAAGAAGTATTTCTTACCCTTTTAGGATTTGGCTGAAATCGAGAAAGAAAAAGGTGACGAGTACTACGAAACCATATCAGTGCACACAGACGGTTCAGCAAATCAAAAAACAATAAAATCATCAGATCACATAACCAGAATATACGCATGTGCCACCATGTGGCACGAAACCAGAGACGAAATGATAGAATTTTTAAAATCAATTTTACGCCTGGACGAAGATCAATGTGCTCGACGTGTAGCCCAGAAATACCTTCGAGTCGTTGATCCTGATTACTACGAATTCGAAAGTAAGGGGATAATTGACTCACATTTCAATATTTGGGTTAAATATACTCATTGTTTTATTTTCAGCACACATTTTCTTCGATGACGCCTTCGAAATATCGGATCACAACGACGACGATTCCCAAGTCAACAGATTCGTAAAACTTTTGGTAAATACAATAGACGAGGCAGCTTCTGATGTACATCATACAAATATTAGAATACGTGCTCCAAAAAAATATCCAACACCTTACGGTGGAAGACTGGTATGGACTTTACCAGGAAAAACCAAGATGATAGCTCATCTCAAAGACAAATCTAAAATTCGGCATAGAAAACGATGGTCACAAGTCATGTATATGTACTACTTGTTGGGGCATAGGTTGATGGAATTGCCTATATCAGTCGACAGAAAAGCTGTGATGGCTGAGAATACTTATTTGCTAACTTTGGATGGTGATATTGATTTTCAACCACAGGCTGTACAATTGTTGGTGGATTTGATGAAGAAGAATAAAAATCTGGGAGCTGCTTGTGGACGTATTCACCCAATTGGATCAGGTACTAAAATATTTGTCAAAATATAAATATTTGGGTTCAACTATTTTTTTACCCCAGGTCCTATGGTTTGGTACCAAATGTTCGAATACGCCATCGGTCATTGGCTCCAAAAAGCAACAGAACACATGATAGGCTGTGTACTTTGTAGTCCTGGATGTTTCTCACTTTTCAGAGGCAAAGCCCTTATGGACGACAATGTTATGAAAAAATACACCACAAAATCTGATGAAGCCAGGCATTATGTACAGTACGATCAAGGAGAAGATCGATGGCTTTGTACACTTTTGTTACAAAGAGGTTACAGAGTCGAATATTCAGCTGCTAGTGATGCTTATACACATTGCCCAGAAGGTAAAAAATTGTAAAAAATTTAGTAATCTTATATATAAAAATGGAGCTAAAACTCGAAAACGGCTAAACCGATTTGGCCAGTCTTAGTCTTGAAAAACTCGTGCTAACCAGTAGGTTGTCGTAATAGTGAGATATTATTTCAAAATCGCCTAGAAACTTTACATTTTTAATTTGATTTTTTTTTTGTAGAAGCGTAATTTAAATAAAACAATAGACGGTGGCTAATACGTCAAATGTCAAATGTTTTTGACAGACAATGTTCAATCGTAACGCCGCAACGGTGAGATATTATTTCAAAATCGCCTAGAAACTTTACATTTTTAATTTGATTTTTTTTGTAGAAGCGTAATTTAAATAAAACAATGGACGGTGGCTAATACGTCAAATGTCAAACGTTTTTTTACAGATTATGTTCAATTACATTTAATAGGATGTTTTACGTGAATATTATTTAATTATGATTAAATTGTAGCAAGTAGTTTTGTTCGTAGTTATATTTATACACATAAACGTTTTGACGTAAACAAATTGACGACTTAAAATATATTTTAAAAATATAAAGCGTTGTAATACAGTTATGAAATTATAGTATGTTATTTCTTAATATGTGTACTCAACTATAAAAATATAAAATCACACATGTTTCTAACAAAAGAAACTAAAAAATTGTAATTCACACTTGTATACTCTATTTTTATTAGTTGCGAATCGACGGTTGGACATGATATAAGAAGTACTTTTGAAAAATGTTTTAAAAATATACAATATTATACTAGAGCTATGAAATTTTAGTATCTTATTACCTAATATATGTACTCAATTATAAAAATATAAAATCACGCATGTTTCTAACAAAAAAAACTAAAAAATTGCAATGCACACTTGCATACTCTATTTTTATTAGTTGCGAATCGACTGTTGGACATGATCTACGAAGTACTTTTGAAAAATGTTTTAAAAATATACAATATTATACTAGAGCTATGAAATTTTAGTATGTTATTACCTAATATAAGTACTCAATTATTAAAATATAAAATCAAATATGTTTCTAACAGAAGAAACTAAAAAATTGCAATGCACACTTGCATACTCTATTTTTATTAGTTGCGAATCGACGGTTGGATATGATATAAGAAGTACTTTTGAAAAATGTTTTAAAAATATACAATATTATACTAGAGCTATGAAATTGCAGTATGTTATTACTTAATATATGTACTGAATTATAAAAATATAAAATCACATATGTTTCTAACAAAAAAAGCTATAAATGTGCAATTTTGAAAACAAATGCACTCTTGCAATAGTTGCAAGTCCCCTCGGTTTGATGAGTATTTTGAAAAATCTTTAAAAATATAAAACGTTATACTAGAGTTACAAAATTTTAGTATGTTATTTCTTAATATGCGTACTTAATTATAAAAATATAAAATCGCACAAGTTTCTTACAAAAACAGCTATAAATTTGCAATTCAGTAAAATCAGGTAATAGGGCTGCAAGTGTTACTACAAACTCAACAATATCAACTTTTTTGAAATGTTAATATGAAAATGCATTTTTTGACGTTGTAGCACTTTTTTTTGCAATACAGCATTGTATATAGTATTCAAACAACAGTATTATTTTTTTTTGATTCTTTAGAAATTATTTAGAATATACCATACTTATATGTCTACCTTACTTATCAGTATAGTACATATATAAATGTGGTGTTTTTTAAGGTTTCAACGAGTTCTATAACCAGCGTCGTCGTTGGGTACCATCAACCATGGCTAATATTATGGATTTGCTCATGGACTACAAAAAAACAATCAAGATCAACCCTGACATTTCTCTTCCTTATATTTTCTACCAAATTATGTTGATGGGTGGCACAATTCTTGGCCCAGGAACAATATTTCTCATGTTGGTGGGAGCTTTTGTGGCAGCTTTTAAAATCGACAATTGGACATCATTTTATTATAACATTTTCCCTATATTGCTGTTCATGCTGGTGTGCTTTACGTGCAAATCTAATATACAGGTAAGGGAGATATAAAAGTAATAATTACCCTTGAAGTGTTCATAATAATTATTTAATTTATATATAATTATTTAATATTTCTATTATCTAGTTACTTGTGGCTCAAATTCTCTCAACTTGTTATGCAATGATAATGATGGCTGTGATAGTGGGTACAGCCTTGCAATTAGGCGAGGATGGTATAGGTTCACCATCAGCAATTTTCTTGATAGCCCTATCAGGATCGTTCTTTATAGCAGCTTGTTTGCATCCTCAAGAATTCTGGTGTATTGTACCAGGCATAATTTATTTGTTATCCATTCCTTGCATGTATTTGCTCCTTATTTTGTATTCCATCATCAATCTGAACGTCGTTTCTTGGGGAACTCGAGAAGTCGCTGTGAAGAAAACCAAAAAGGTAAATGGTAAAGGATTTTTGGGTATGTAACACCTGCACATTATCATGCTTTTATTAAAAAATTAACTAGTGGTGTATGGCGTCGTGCCTTAAGGCAAATTAGTAATGGAATATTCTAGAAATTTTAAACGTTTTCAAATATATTATTACAAACACTGTAACTTTCATTATTTTTGCTATCTTGTTATATCTGAGCAAATCAAATGTAAATCATAAATCAAATTATCTTCAGAACATTAACAATCGTCATTTCATTTCGAATTCAATTTCAAAAAAATACCTAAATTGCCTAATTTGCACAAAATTGAAAAAGTGCTCCCGTATAGTCACAGTCTAAACGCACTTGTAAATAATTCTGTGCGACATGTTCACTTATACTGCGCTTAGCATGGCGGCATTTTCATATTTTTCAAAAAAAGTACGTTAGCAGTCTAAACGCACTTGGGTAAACATTTGCACCAGAGTGGCGCTTAGACTGTGCTTAGCCTGGGTAATTTTTTCAATTTTTTGACACACATACACACATCCATTTAGTTTCTGAGGCATGCCCCTTAAAAATGTTCAGAAACTTTCAAAACGTCGAGAAGTGCAAAAATTTTCATTTTCGATTTTCTGCCCATTACTATAACTTACCATACGGGAAGTTAAAAATTAGGAAGTTTGGCCTAGAGAATTAATAAAAGGGACTCTACTAACGAGGAAACTAATATTTGATATAAATAATTTAAGAAAAGGGACTCTACTGGCGAGCAAATTTTGATTTCGATTTTTAATCTAAAAAGGAACTCTACTGACGAGCGAACTTTGCTTTGATCTTAACATAAAAAAGACTCTATTGACAAAATTTTATTTAAGAAAGGAACTACTGACGAGCATAGTACAATAGCAATCTCAAATATAAAAAGGGACTCGACTGGCGAGCAAAATAATTTAGCAATCTTTAATGTAAAAAGGGACTCTACTGACGAGCAAACTTCAAGGTGATCTTAAATATTAAACAGAGACTCTACTGACAATCAAACTTTGATTTAGATTTAGAGAAGCAAAAGGGACTCTACTGACGAGCAAACATAATTTTGATCTAGAATATCAAAAAAGGGACTCTACTGACGAGCAAATACAATTTTTATTTTGAAAAGGGACTCTACTGACGAGCAACTTTGATTTTGATGTGAAAATTGAGGAGCAAACTGCAGATGTGATCTAGAATTTAAAAAAAGAGACTCTACTTAATCACACTACTCAATTACAAAAATATATTATGGAAAATGAAAAAAGATGTAATAACTTTTTATCCCCAAAAGCAATTGTTTTGTCAATACAAGCAGAAAGTTTTTTAGATCATTCAAATCGGACGCTTAGTTCACTCAAAAACTGTCATTTTTTGCACATTTAGCTCTGTATCTTCGAAACGGTGGGACCTGTCTTTGCCAAAAACTAATCACCTCTTCACCCAATTATTACAAATTAAATGTTTTTTAGATCATTCAAATCCGATACTCCGTGCTCTCAAAAACTCGATTTGTATTTCCTGCACTCTTTGCTCCGTATCTCCGTAACGGCTGGACCTGCTTTTTCCAAAAACTAATCAGCACATCTCCCTGTTAATAGGGATCGAATGTTTTTTAAACCATTCAAATCGGTTGATCCGTGCGCCCGAAAACGTGGACGAAAAAATGCGGACATACAAAACACACACATCCATTTTTTCTGAGGTATGCCAAAATGTTCAGAAACCTTCAAAACGTCGAGAAATGCAAAAATTTTTATTTTCGATTTTCGGGACATTGCCATAACTACCCTACGGGAAGATAAAAATTAATAATAGTTTATAATTCACTAGAGTAGCCTTACACATAACTTGCTTTGCATCTGATTTTTAACAAAAATAGTTGCATTTTTAACAAAAATAGTTGCATTTTTAACAAATTTAATTACAAAACCCTTGCAGGATTTTGCCCACAGTTCCTGTAGGCTTAGTGCTATGTGAGAAAAATTATCATAATTAGATTTTCACTAAAATTTTTTTTAATTTTGAGATGCCATATGATTCATACAGGTGTTGGTTAATATTTTGTCCATAACCGTAAATTTTATGATCATCTGGTGGAGGAAAAATATATTTTTGGTGCACAAGGCGAAGGAAACATTATTCCATCCTGGTACGTTCCAAATGAATCATCAAAATCCTGTTTTTTATATTTTTTTTAACATATCAAATTTTTATTTAGGAGTTGGAAGCTGAAAAGAAAGCAGCTGAAGAAGCTGCTAAAAAGGCTAAACAGAAGTCTTTATTAGGTTTCCTTCAAAGTGGAGGCGGAGGCAACGATGATGATGAAGGTTCCATTGAAATATCCTTTGCAGGACTTTTCAAATGCCTACTGTGCACCCATGGTAAAACATCTGATGAAAAAGCACAGTTGATACATATTGCTGACTCTTTGGATTCGTTGTCTAAGAAAATGGAAAATTTGGAAAGGTAAAAAAAATTATCTACATATATATACAAATAAGTTGGGTTTTCCTTCCTGACGATTTAACTTCAGAACGCACGAATCGATTTCGACATTTTTGCATTCGATGAAAAGGTCTCGGGCTCTGCAAGGTTTATAGCTCAAATTGAAAATTAGTGGTGCACGGCATCGTGCCTTAATGCAAATTACTGGAACTTCACGCACCGTAATTAAAAATTCGAGTAATGACATTAGTGAGACTTATCAGAATTATGCTTGGTTAAGTCAACGAGCAATTCTTGCCGCAAAGAATAATGATGTACACACACTGAATTTCACCATTCAATCAAAAATTGCTGGCGATTTGGTGATATACGAATGATTCTGACTGGTCTTCCGTTTGACTTCAAACGATTGCAATATCCAGTTCGCCTTGCTTAGTGTTTGCGGGATAAATTTCAATTAGATTATTTAGAAAATCATTATTTTTCACACGGACAGTTATACGTTGCCTGTTCACGAGTTGGAAAACCATCCGCTTTGTTTGTGTTAACGTCAGACCAAAAAACAAAAAATGTGGTTTACCAAAGAGCACTTGAATGAAACGGATAATTTGCGGATTCACTTTCATTTACTTAGAGAAGTTCAACTAAAAAACACTTCATTTTTGTAATCGAAATAAATTCATTACTGTTATATAATAAAATCAAATTTTTCCTTTTCAAATATAAAACTAACAAAAAATTTCTTCATTTTTCTGACGAAACCATCTGGTGGCAAAACGGAGTTCGTCGGGTTTGCTAGTTACTTATATGATTTGATTGGAAATTGTATTTTTTATTATTTTCAGGGCAATTGACCCCCATGCACCACGTCGACACAGAACAACATCATCAGGATCTAGGGATCACCATTTATCAACTTTGTCTGAAAATCATGAAGGCGACAGTAGTGATGAATCCAGCAGTGAAACTTCAACAGTTCCCAAAGTAACTAAAAAATACTATATATATATATATATATATATATATATATATATATATATATATATATATATATATTATTCATATGTGTTTTATTCCTCAGAATGAAAGAGATCCCTTAACAAATCCTTATTGGATAGAAGATCCAGAGTTGCGTAAGGGTGAAGTTGATTATTTGTCGACATCGGAAATTCAATTTTGGAAGGATTTATTGGATAAATATCTGTTTCCTATTGATGCCAATAAGGATGAAGAGGTATTTTGTAATATAATTATTAGAAAATTAGAAACAGTTTTTGGAAGATTTTTATTTTTGAAATGTTAGTCAAGGCAACATTCAGTCGAGTCAATGTAGTCTTCAGAATCAGCTCTGAGTTTGTTTATTTTTATAAAATTTTTGTTCGAATTTGAACTTAAATTTCAGTTTTTTTTTGGTTAAACAAAATGCATATCATTCACCAAAATTATTTTGCTTAAACAAAATGTATATTATTTATACAAGAAAATTAGTTTTTGAGTGATTTTTTTTAAAAAAAAATCGTGTATTAATTTTTGCGTCAAAAATAGTTATCGTAAATGAAGTTATTATTAATAAAATCATATTTACATCTTTGTTAGTTGAAAAAAATTTTTTTTTTCTTTTAAGTCAATTTCGTTCATAAGTGACATTTCTACCAAAATTACTTTTGTTCATATTACATCTAGAATTTACTTTAATATGAATAGTTTGATGTATTTTAGCAGTAAAATATATTTTAAAAAGTAGATTCTTTTTACATAAAAGACTATATAAATGGACAAATCTGAGTATGTAAATATTAAATTAATTTTTTTCTAATGGTTTTCATAAGTGCAATTTTTACCAGAAATAAATTTAATCGTATTTCATATAGAATTTACTTCAATATAAATAATTCGATATTTTTTAGCAGTACAACATTTATTAAAAATAATACAATTTCTAAAAAATAAATAAATATAAATGTACAAAATCGGAGCTGTTTCTTAAGACCGTCTGTGGAAAGCTCTATTGACTCGACTAAAAAGTACTATTTTCGTAGACAAAAATTTTAAGAACAAAATTGTGATAATTGTGGATAACAATATTCGTAAATTTTGCACATTTCTACATTTTTAATACAAATTTTAAATAGAAATTTAAAATTTAGCTACTACTACGTGTTGAACTAGATATAAGGGGCACAACTGTGTAACCGCCTAAAAACAAGGTGATTTTTGGGAATTTATAATAAAAAGAAATACTTTATCAATCATTTCAAAATTTTAAGAATATATTTACACATGTTTCAAGAATACATAGTAAAATTTTTGAAGAAAATAATTAAATATTTTTTAAGTTATCGCCGATCTCCAACGGCGGTACAAAAAGGGCCCTTCACTGCTGCAGTGATTCCGGCCTTCTACGCGGATGAAATCTAAAAAAAATTCTCTTTAAACTAGATAATATTGTCTGTAAAATGAACTACGATAAAGAAAAAAATGAAAAATTGACAAAATGACGGCGTTTTTTAAAAAAAAGTCGAATTTTACCCAAAATTTTGGTAGGTTTTTGGCTTGCCTAAATTCTATTTTTGATCCGATCACAAAATCGATAGGTTATTTTACAAAGAACTATATATAGAACATGTAAAAAAAATTGATAGTGATCGGATTATTTGTTTTTGAGTAAACGCTGCAGCAAAGTCGGAAAATGCTGTTTTGAGAAAAACGCGTTTGAAGGTAAAATAATCGTTATAATATATACATATATTATATATTTGAATATAATATATACAAATATATATATATATATATATATTTGAATGAATGTAACTCAAAAACTATTTGAGATATCTATTTGAAATTTTAATATGTTATTTTTAAAAGTGTAATCTATCAAAATATGTAAAAAACAAATCGTTTTTTTCGAAATTTCACACTAGTTGTGCCCCTTATACAAAAAACAGGATTTATTGGGAATATTTTGAAGGCAAATTAAAGCACAAACAAGTTCATGAAACATTTTAAATTATTATCAACTATATTGCCAATTATCAAGTTTTTGGCATATACAGGATTATTTCTATCTAACATTACATTTTGAGTCGTCTTCATCTAAATCCAAAATAGAAATGGATTTTAGAAATTTAGGCTATGGTTTCCTGATCCCTTCAGGGACCAAATCAAGGGTACAAATCCATGTATAGTTTTTAATTTTTTGAGTGGTTTTCTGGCCTTCTCTTGGGTCAATTACCAAAGGACAACTCTATATCCTCCTCCTGCTACATTTTAGAAACGTATCGCCAGCGATTTGAAGGAACTCCGAGATCAATCCGTGTTCGCATTTTTCATGCTGAACGCCCTGTTTGTCCTAATTGTCTTCCTTCTGCAGTTAAACAAAGACCTCCTACATATCAAATGGCCCCTTGGCATTAAAACTAATATCACTTATGACGAAACCACACAAGAGGTAAAATTAGTAATAAGATTTTAACCGTAACGAAAAAGTTGGCCGAGGTAATGGAAATTGGATTGAGGTTGAGTTTTGCTGGTTGGGAGGAAAATGATTTATGGGTGAAGCCAGAGATAAAAGATAATGAAAATAAGTACTGAAATTTAATGATTTTATTAAATTAAATTAGGTATGAGTGGCATTTTGCCCTGCAATATGAAAAATATAATTTGGCTTTGCCCATAGAACCATCATGTACTTTATTTTTCAGCACAACTTCTTTTTCAGGGCGTTCGTCGTAGGAGGTCATTTATATTATATTGTGTTTTTTTTACCATCACAATGAGCAAAACTCAAATCAATTTCGTTCAACTTTTTCAATTTCTATTCATCTATTTAACATATTTTTTTCCCATTAATCATTTACCCAGGCAAGAGTGGCCGCCGAATTGATCGAGCTCAGGAACAAATCAGTCTTCGCATTTTTCATGTTCAACGCATTATTTGTACTGATCGTATTTTTACTACAATTGAATAAAGATCAATTGCACGTCGATTGGCCTTTGGGAATTAAAACGAATATTACGTATAACCAGGAAACGGCCGAGGTACAGAGCGATTTTTTTTCAACAAAAAAATCGCTTTTTTGTCATTAAAAATAAGCGCACCAGGTTATAGATTAAACTGGACGTTATATGTGTTCCTTTTTTTGTTGGGACTTTTTGTTAATTCTTTTTCTTTTTTTTTTTTTTTTTTTGTTTTGTGCTCACATTATACACGTGCAAAATGGGTCTAAGGAAACATAATCGTCTAAATAAATTTTAAGCTAGTTGTCTAAGTCGTGCTCCCTAATAAGGCTGAAAAGCCATCCAAATAACATTTTTTGGACAGCTTTATGAAAAAAACTACTAAAAAATTTCTCATTTTTATTTAGTTGAAAGTAGAGTGAAAATTAAAGTAAAGAGTAGGGTTGCCTAAGTCGTACCCCCAAATAATGCTATAGGATTTGCAAAAGAACTTTTTTCTTGAAAATTCCTTAAAACTGATTTTTTGTCAATGTTTTTTTATTTGAAAGTAGAATGAAAAGTACAAAGTACTGAGTAGAGTTGCTTAAGTCGTATCCCCTAATGATGCTATAGAGCTTGCAAAATATTTTTTTTTTAAATTTCATAAAACTAAATATTTTGTCATTTTTTTATTTCAAAGTAGAATGATTGCAGAGTATAGGTTAGGGTTGCTTACATCGTACCCCTAATAATGCTAATAACTTATTTTTGTGAAAACCTCACAAAAAACTACTGAATATTTTCTCAATTTTTTTTTATTTGAAAGTATAATTAAAAGTACAGAGTACAGGGTTGCTTAAGTCGTACCCCCAAATAATATTATAGGCATTGCCGAACAACTTTTTTGAAAATCCTATAATAAAAATTCTTATTTTAATATATTTTTAATTTTTTTTTAATTTGAATAAAAAGAACAGAGTGTAAGGTGCAGAGTACATAGTAGGGTTTCTTAAGTCGTACCCCCTAATAATGCTATAAGGTCCGTCTTTTCTTTGAAAATCCCATAAAAAATTTACTAAAATTTTGCCAATTTTCTTTTCTGCTTGAAAATTCTATTAAAAAAATTCTACATATTTGCTTATTTTTTTATTTGAAAGTAGAATGAAAAGTGCAGAGTACAGAGTACAGCGTAGGGTTGCTAAGTCGTACCCCTATAAGGTCCGCCAAACAACTTTTTTTTGAAAATTCCATAAAAAAAATCTGAATATTTTCCTAGAATTATTTATTTATTCGAATAAAAAGTATAGAGTACAGAGTAGAGTTTCTTAACCCCCTAGTTAGAACCTAATTAATATTTTCTTTTTTTCATCTGAAAGTACAATAAAAGTACAAAGTACAAAAAACAGAATACAGAGTCGAGTTGCTTAAGTCGTATCGCTAAATAATAATAAAACTACTCAATATTTTTTAATTTTTTTAACTGATTTAGTTGGCTTTTTATTAACAATTGCTAATTTTTTTATTATTTTAAAATATGTATTTTTAAGTTTTTCAAAAGTCGGCTTTCGGCATTTAGTCGCCTAAATCGTACCACCTGTAACTTAGTCGTACCGACTACTAAAAAACTATAGAGAATTGATCTACGATTGAGTCAAAAATATTAATAAAATTCATACTAAAGGCTTATTTTTTCATTAGTTTCGTATTTATATTTATTCCATAAATATATATGAAATTTTTAAGACCCATTTTTGTACGTGTATATACAAAAATTATTTATAACGACTTGCTAAAAGTACTGACTGTAATTAAAACAGAAATAACAGTCGAATCTTTTTCAAATTCACACAGAAAAAATTAATGGGAATCTGGGACTTATGTGTTTTGTTTATAACGACATAGATCATGACTATAATCTAAATTTCATCATCATTTCAATAATATATTAATAAAATAATCGACGTTAATAATCGCCAATATCAAGATTCATTGCATTATTAATATGTGTAATTCATTTTATTTTATTTTTATTTAACTTAACTCTATTTTTATTTTATTAGTTATTAAACAGAGTACCTACATTATTATTAAAGTAAAGTATTATGATTAAAGTAAAGTATTTTTAGATTATACGTTCATATTTTAGGCACTTTAAAATTTTATTTTTAGAAACCAAGATTCATATTCTGTCAGACTTTTAATGGTAAAATTTAAAATTACAGTAAAGCAATTTTTTTATAAATCATTTAAACAAAATAATTTAATAGATTTAAACAAAACACACTTAATACAAAAATCAACTTTAGTGATAAATACCAAACAAAATTGGATGTATTTAGTCATTTACACGTTTTGTCAAAAATCTGGTTTTAATTTTGTGGAACTAATTAATGTGTGAAAAAACATAAAAAAATAATTTTTAATGATTGTATATATTTTGTTAGATAATTTGTTATCTACATACTTATGCTTCTATCTTTTGCTAATAATATTTCAACTTTAGTAGTTTTTCGTAGTATTAGAATAAACCTCTATTTAAAAAATTTGTAAAATTTTCTTATAAATGATAAAACGTTTTTAATTAAAAGACGCCATCAAAATAATTATATTACTTTATATATTTAGGAGATTACATAATATATATTTACACTACATATAAACAAATTAATATTTATCAATATAGTATAAATTTTACAATTTTATGATTTACATAAAAAATAAACAAAATAAATAATTTTTTATCAAGTCTGGCAGAACTAAAATCTTGGTTGTATTTATTCTGTTGGTTTTGCACCATCACAAAACTTATTTATTTAAATCACCAAAAAGTATCGTTCCTATTACAAAATTAAAACAATTTTTTAAAAATTAAGGAAACCATGCTTTTGTGAATTATTTTGCACTCACATTATATGACACGAAATAAAAACGATCACCTAAGGACTATCATACTGACGGAAAAAAAAATGTCAATATTTATTTTATATCATCATTGGCTTTGATAATTAATAAAAATATTTTCTTTAGCAAATTATTATTATTTCCAGCTGATGCCAGTATGCCAGCCCTCCAAAAATACATGTGCAATATAACACATCACCATTTGTGAGGAACACTGACCAAAATGCAGATTATTAATAATTTAATTGTTCAATAATTGTTTTTAGTTGGTTTATTTGATAGTTTGTGAAATTTTATATAAAAGAAAAATTTTGGAATATTTATAATACATAATAATACATATAATAACACGCGTTTTTGGTGATAACAACGGAGTTGCCTTGAAATACATTTGTGATAAGATTGTGTTCATTTATATTCAAAAAATTTAAAGAAATAATAAAAAATACTATGAATAATGTCAAAGTTTGATTTCAGAAATATCTAGGTTTTCAATACAATTTTTGTCACATACTATTTTTTTTATAAACAAATAATTTTCCAAGATTTGTGAAGAATTTACATAATTTATTAAAAAATCGAACATAATACAGATATAAAATATTTTGAGATTATGTTAACAAATCATGAATTTAATAACACACTCTTATAAATATTTTTTAAAATCAAATTTAAATTTCCACTACAATTTATCTATCAAATAAAACAATTACTATTTGTCTTTTTAATATACATATCACAATGGAGTGGAATAACTTCATATATGTGTTAACTTTTATAATACTGTTGAAATTTCTTAATAATTTTTGTAAAATAGTTTTGAATATATTTTTATAATATGATTTCATTTATTTAATTTCAACAGTATTATATTTTATGTGGTTTTGGTAAATATATGTTCTCTTCTGTATAAATGTGTAACACCTAATATTTCAGCACTATTTATTTTTAAGCCAAGTGCTTATGCTAAATTTTAAATTGAAAAATATTTTAAAATTATTGTTATGAAAAATCCAATCAGTATATAACATGCTTTTTACAAAATTTAAAATTTAGTATAAGCACTTTTATATATATATTATACAAAATTCTTATAATCTGTTTCTATTGGAATTTCGATTTTTAAATAATATTTAGTACAAAATTAAAATTGTTATAAATTCAGATATACATTGCAAATAATGCTTATTTTAACTGGAGTACTTTCATAATTTTTTTTCAAATTTTAACTAATATAATATGTTTAAATTTCACTACTTTCATATGTGATAAATTTTAATAGAGTTTTAATCGAAGTTCCAATCGCAATATCATATAACAAATTCATTTATAAATATTCTATTTATTTTTTATATTTTAGGTACACATTTCAAAAGAGTATTTACAATTGGAACCCATTGGTTTGGTGTTTGTGTTCTTTTTTGCATTAATTTTGGTGATACAATTTTCGGCTATGTTGTTCCATAGATTTGGAACACTTTGCCATTTCTTGGCTTCAGTTGAACTCAACTGGTATTGCAACAAAAAGGTAAGAAATAAAAAAAAATTAAATATATATATATATATATATATGTATATATATACACATAATATTCATATTTATCATCTTTTTTTAACAACAGTTTCTAGTTTCTATAAACTCATAATAGTAAACATCTACAGCTTGAGGTATTTTCAATTATAATTTTTGGTGATTCCAAAATTTTTTAGTTTCATAATTTCTCAAAAACGGAAGATTTCATAGTACTAATTTACAAAAAATATTGAGAAATTAGGAATTAAATGAACCATTTTTCAGAAAAACGGGAGGCTTTTATATCACGAAATAAAATCATAGATTAATTATAAATTGTAAGTAATAAAATAAATTTAAACAAGTCAAATTAAAAATTAAATTTAAATTTAGTTCTACCGTACACATTAATACTACACTTTTATTACATGATAAAAATTATATTAATCAATATTTGTAATCTATTATTTGGTCATTGTTCCACATAGTCATAAATATTATGGATTTCAAGATTAAATGATCAAATTCAGTTATGTCTTATTCAGATTATTCAGTTATATATATATATATATATATATATATAATTCAAGTCAGCTTATTTTATCAATGCCTACAAACGAAATATAATAATATTTATATATTCTAAATTAAATTTGAAAATTTTATAACATGAAAATTTTTGGAGACGATATAAGTATTAATTTCATTAATGAGAATAGATTCTTCAAATACCTATTTATTTATGGGGGTATTTCAGTGTATAAATTCCAAAACATCGTTTCCTTGATTTTCATATTTTCAAAGCTTAACTATTCAAGAATATGTGTACGATAGGATTTTTTAAAATTTACATTGTTTCTGTTTCTTTTCTTTTGCAACACTTTGAACTTGTTTTTCTCAAAACTATGTTTATAAATGAGATTTATTAGACCAATACTTGAAATTTCTGGAGAATCTTCTTTATTGACTTCTCTCAGACACATACTAGCCTTATCTCCAAATTTTAATCATTTATATTTTAAAAAAAATGGGAAACTCAAAAAAATGTAATAAGAAAATTTAATATTTTCAAACAGTCGCCATCAAAATAAAAAAAAAATGATTTGATCCTAGTATATGCCATTGCGATATCGTTATAAATTAATAATCTTTATTTTTATTCGGGCACGGTCACGTGACCATTTTTTGTGACTTCAAAAACTGCTAAATTTTGAAATTATTAACATTTTTGTTCACTTTTTTTAATACTCTTGTAACGTTGATAACTTAATTATGAAAAACTAATAGTAAATAAAATATTCACGATGATTTAAAAATGACCTAAAATTCATCCCTCTAACTAGAATGCCCTTTTAAAGATTGAACTTAAAATATATATATATATATATATATATATATATATATATATATATTTCTATGTACTTATGAACCTATCTATGAATGCAAAAATCTAAAAGTGGTTTAGAGTAGCCCTAGCCTCTGACTTCAACAATTTCAATCTTCAATTTTCAAACTTACAAAAATTAGCAAAAAAATTATGTAAACAAATTTTTTTATTGAATCGAACAAATGCTTCACGCGAAGTAACAAGACTCGACTTGGTATAAACATACTAAAAGTGATATTTTTTAATGAACTTAATTGTGAAAAACTATATATACAAGCGAAACTAAAGGATAAAAAAATACAAAAAAATGCATTTTTTGTCAGTAATCCTTTTTTTATTTAATTTATTCTGCAATCTGTTTTACATGAGCATTAACATTAAGCAGAGATTGTTAACAATGATTATCTTACAATATAAACTAGAAGATAGTAGCAACACCCAGCGGCGTGTCTACTAGGTCTAAGGACTAATTTGCTGACATCTTTATTATATGTGCAACTATACCCACGAGAGGCGATTTTCACTTGAGGCTATATTTGAGATCTATGACCTCAAGTGGAAATTTGACATCAAAGTTGCCTGATGTCAGGCTTGGCGGTAGCGTTGCCAGTAATTCTGATAACAGAAAAAATATTTATATGAAAAAAAAAGATTTTTATTGTTTTTTTAAATAGTCATTGTAATGTTAAAATCATATTCAAGTGACTTAGTATTAATATACCTCTTTCTCACGAATTGGTATAATATAATCATATAACGACTCACATCTGCGTAAAATTTATGATTATCTTAATTTTCTTAATTTAATAAACAAGGTACTATATATATGTAACATCAATAAAAAACATGAATTTCTTTCAAAAATTTATTTTAAATCCATACGTTTCGGCTATAATCCTAGCCTTCATTCAGCGGAAACTAAAAATAAAATTAAAAACTAAAACAACTGAATTGGAGCGAAAAGAAAAAATAAAATAGTAATTAGTACTTACAATTAGTAGATCTTAGTGTTAATTTGGAAAACTTTAATAATCCATGGTATTAGGATATGGTAATGCACTACACTATGTATTATAAACATTAACTTGAAATTACACAATATTTTCACAAAATACTGATTTGAAAAAATCACAAATGGTCAGTGTGTTATTCGTAGACTGGTTGAAGATGTAATGGAGAAAGACATTTTTTAAAAAATATTTTTACCAAGATTCTAACATGTGTGGAACGAATTGCGAATCCTTTGCACGAACGCTTTTATTGTTTTGTAAGAAATTTGGAAATGTTATCTAAATAGAAGAGATTTGTGTCGCACAGCGTGTTGAGTTCATTCCGTTTGTTTATTGTCTTATTGTTATAAATAGTTAAAAAAGATTCCTCTATAATTCTTCGTTTAAATAAATTTTGTTCGAATTTATAATATACATATACACACATTACATAAATCCTTTCCTCAGGTGGAGGACCTTTCGCAAGACGCGCTCCTCGACCGCAACGCCGTGCAGATCGTGAAGGATCTGCAGAAGCTGCGCGGAATCGACGGCGACTACGACAACGACTCGGGAAGCGGCCCGGACAGGGTGGGCCGACGTCGAACGATACACAATCTGGAGAGGGCGAAGCAGAAGAAGCGGCAGATTGGGACGCTCGACGTAGCCTTCAAGAAGCGCTTCTTCGGCATCAAGGCGGACGGACCAGGTAATAAATGGATAGATCCATAAAATAGATAGTATATAAATAGAAATATATCTATTCATCGAATTAAAAAAAAAGTTAATATGGAAACTTTTTTTATACGATTAGACACTTGATGTGTGTCATCATTTAACAGGCAAACCAGGGAAAACGCAAAAGACACAAAATTTGGCATTTTGGCATTTCAGTTTCGTTCTTACATTCTATTTATATAGTATGTCTTCTTTTTCATTTTTTTTTTTTTGATAATTAATTATATAAGTATGAAAAAATATTCATTATATTTGACATTATTTTTCTTACTTGGAGGAATAAGCTGAAAATTATTTCAAATATGTTAAAACGTCGACAAAACTATCAATATATATATATCTGTGTGTGAAATATTAAGCCTGAGATTGTTGGTAGTCACAAATTTTATGAAATTTTTATAAACTCTTGAAAATTAGTACTAAAACATATACTTAAAACATTACCCCAATTATATGAATATCATGTAAAGTTGCCTAAGTCGTACCACCGTACTATAAATAAAATCACATATATCTAACTCTCATAATGATGCTAATTATAGAATTATTATTGGGTCGTGAGGTTGCCTAAATCGTACCACTGCCAAAGCCCTACCCAGGCTATATTTTGTTAGAAAATTTTTAATCACATCATCTGGTTCTGCTAAATAGAATCATTTAGGTAAGCAAATATTTTCAATTGCAAGATTTTTGAAGCAGAATTAATTAAAAAGTAAGCTTTTGAGATGTTTCATCTAACAATTTTTGAATCAGTTGTAAACCTTTTATGGCAATAAAACGATCCAGATATTTATTATTTATATTACTAATTTTAATTTCCAATTTTGAAGTTCTACCAACCTAAATCGTACCAAATTTCTTACACGTATTTCATAGAGAGCGTTTTATAGCCTTTGTTCATAAATACAAATAAATAATGAAAAAATATGATTTTCCAAATTTTTACTCAATTTGAAAAACTTTTTGTGAATGGTTTTATCTCCATTCTTTTCACCCAGACTCCATGAATTTATATGCACTTTTTGACATTATTAATTTATTTTAGGTGTTATTTTGATAATTATGTTTGACTTAGTGAATAATTACTAAAAAAAGTTAATTTCAGACTATATTCAACATTGTTTTTTACTAGTAGGTACGACTGAGGTGACAAGAAGCTTAAATCACATATTTTTGAAAATCATAAAAATACCTATTTTGTTATAAATAAAAAGTCATCTAAATAAATTTTATAAAAATGCCAAATATTTTTTTTTAAATTTAATTGTATTAAATATTTTAGAAATATTTCCTTTGGGGGTACGACTTAAGCAACCTTAATTTACATAATTTTTTATTTTTAATAATCTTTGAATATGTGGATATGTATCATTTATAATAGATAAAGAATTTTACTGTATCAGGTTCTTGGATATTTTGAATATAAATTATCGTAGAGTCAACTTATACTCAAAAAAAGTCATAAGTTTGACCCTGTCTATCAAAATATAAGGATAAACTAATATTAAGTTCGATTTTTTTGCATTTTTATAAATCATTTTTAAATTATACCTGATTATTGAAATTTTCATATATAATAATTTTTTGTTCTATACTAGAATATGCTGATTGTATATTACTTCATTATAAATTCATTCGATTGAATATTTTATTAAATTTACTTTTTAAGGTATTATATGCAATGCAACTTTGATGCTAAGTTTTAAGTATAAACATAGATACAATTTACATAAAATACGCATTTTTAATTAATAAAAAAAAACTACCATAAACAATTAAAAAATCTCAATTATTGTATTGACTGCACCGAAATTACTTGTACTTGAATTTTGATACCAACTTCAATTTTAAATCATTTTTATATTTAGGTACGCCTATATTGTCAAGAAATATGACAATGAGACGAGAAACAATAAAGGCTTTGGAAGTTCGAAGGAATTCAGTGATGGCCGAACGTAGAAAATCACAAATGCAAACATTAGGTGCCAATAATGAATATGGAATCACTGGAGTTGCGGTAAGAAAAAATATAAAAAATCTAAAATTAACAATAAGGGAAAACCATATTATAAATTTTTAGATTTGGTAAAATTTGTCATACAATAATTACTATAGAGAAAAATTAAATCCTTTTAAAAAAAATTACTAAATCAAGGCATATACTTAGAAAACTATATCTTTGCCAATAGTATTCTTTTGTTATTAATTTCTATTTTTTTCTCAGATGAACAATAATCTAGGAGCAATTCCTGCACCTCGTCATCGTATCTCGAATGCAGGTCTTTCGGTAAAAGACATGTTCGAACATCCTGGTGGCCCTGGACAAGTAAATAGGGCCTACGAGCCTAATTTATCCGACGACGAAAGGGCCGATTCTCTGCGATTACAGACCAGGAATCAAGTTACGTGGAGTGCTAACAATAGTCGAATGTGAACGGTTATGTAATTAGTAAGTCTTAATTTATAATTGATAATTGATAATAGTTATTGATGATGTAAGTGAAGGATTGTTAGATTCTCTAAAAGTTGCCAGAATTTGGTAAATTTAAACAAATTGCGGACTTGGTATGCTCAAATGTTGATTTCAGAATTTTTGTTCTTTTAGTTGAATATTTAATGAAGTATAGTCAGGCTCGATAAAAGGTGCCAGAAGTTCACAAATTTTTCTATTCAGACTTGATATGCTCAAAAATTCAGTACAGTGTTTGACTTTGGTTATTTTCTATTTAGTAATTTTTTGGTTATTTTTGGGTCAAGGGTTTTATGTTTTGACGAATGGTACACTTTCACTTATTTTAACCAAATATTTCAATATTTTCATTTAATTTCATATTTAAAAAATATAATATTTGACATTTATAATTTTATTCGATATATCTTGATGATGTTCACAATCCACTGAATGTTTTTCGCTTCTTTAGACAGTAGTGTAGGGAAAAATTAAAATTTCAGTAAAAATTGAATAAACGATAAAGATTTTTTTTAAATTTAATTGCACTAAATATTAGAAATATTTTCTTGGTGGTACGACTTAGGAGACTTTGCTCTACCTATTTTAATCCATTATTATGAATATTTACAATTTTTTTTAATGAATTTTGATGAATTTAATTGCACTAAAAATTACAGCATTATTTTCTTAGGGAGTACGACTTAGCTTGCTATACTTGTTTTAAACCAATATTTAATAAATTATTTCAACGCATTTTTTTTAATATTTTCAAATATTTAGTAATGTTTTTCCAATATATCTAATATATTATATAATTTTTGAAGTAAAACTTCTTTAGGCGCGATATGGGTGTAAAAACTTCATTAGGCGCGACACGGGTGTAAATCCGTACAAATGCAACGAAAGCGCCAACGTGTAGTTGAACACTACGACGCCGTAAGCGCTGATGTCGCGAGTATACACTCCCGTCATGTCATGCGTAAGTCGAGCGCTAAACCCTATATGAACTTGCATTAATTGAATCACGTTTTTTTTACAAAAGAAGAGGTTGCTGTATTATGTCCTCATGGAATAAGACTTTTCTTAGAGAATAAATGTATCATGGAATATAATAAATTTATATTGAATCTCGTTGAAGACAAAATAATATCTACTGCCACGGATATTTATGTAGGTTGCCATGCGACAGATCAACAATCATACATTCGTCAGCAGTTTCAAAAAAATCGGTTATTGCTACCGGGGCTTTGCCGTATGAAATAATTTTAGTTCTGAATAAATTTTACATAATAACAACTAATATTGATGTAAGTGATGGCTTAGCTAATGGTTGTGTGGGAAAATTAGTGTACATAGAACGTGGCGATAATGATGAACTTCTACGTTTATGGTTTGAATTTCCCGGTAAGATAGGTAACAAAATTAGGAAGAAAGCTTCACATCATATTCAAACTCTTAATATCAGTAGGACAGCTATGCCGATGCTCAGGAGATCTTATTATTATTGATGTTATATGATTATTAAAAGATGATTTTTAAAATTCAAATATGATGTTTTTTTTATTTTTATCTTAATTGCCTACTCATACAATATTAAAAGTTTTACTTCAATCGCGTGTGATCCTTACGCGCACTCTTTTTTTTTCCAATATATCTTATAATAATGAAATAGCACCAAAAATTTAACCAATATTTCCTTAGGGAGTACAACTTGGGCAACTTTGCTCTATTTTTTTAAATTTAATTTATATTTTTTTTTCATATACCTTAATGATTTTCATCACTTTCACTCAAATCCAATAATTTAGTTACACTAAATAAATTTCCTTATGGGGTACGACTTAGGCAACCTTGCTCCAAGTATTTTGACAAATATTTTTTTATAATTTGATTTCAAATATGTGGATGATGTTTATCAGATCAACTAACAATTACTCAAATTTATCTCTTGAAGATAACCCATGACTACTGTGCAAAATATTCAGGAACATGAATCAGATATATTTATAATTTATGTTATTTGATTACATTTCTACAATATGATATTTTACAATTAAGATTATAATCTAAATCGATTCTACAAATTTTTACATATTAATTTTACTTTATCTTTAATGGGTAACATGATAAATAGATTATTTAAAGTCCACAGTTAATTTTTAAATTTGTAAAATACTTAATTTTTGAACCGATTTTCTTTATTTACCATTATAAATATAATAATATTAATAATAATGAGCTAATATTTTATCGTTAATAATTCAAAATTTAAAATTTCAAGTTAAAAATCAATTCGTTTTCAAAAAATCATCCTTCAATTAAAATGTTTTTTAATTATTTTTATTTTTTTATATTTTTTACAATTAAGCAACGTTGAGAATATTTTACTTTTTGTGATCAGTTTCAAAATTTGGCATATTTTTACCAGAATCTAACAAAATCCACAAATTTTCAACCCTGTGTATTTTTCGACTTATTATTCATAAGTTTGTACGTATGTTTAATAATATCTTCAATATATCTTTGATTTAATTTTTGCAAAAAATTATTTTATCAATGATAAACGAAGATATTTGTTAGTCAAACAAATTGTGTTAAATTTAATTTTAAATATTAAGAAAAAATATGAATAAGTAGGATTTTTTTTGTATATTTTGTAGAATAATGCCAAAATTAAAATAAATGGCTAACATTGCAAATGTGCAATAAGAATAATAATAATAATAATAATAAGATACTCACATATTGATAATAAGATACTTTAAATATTTTTATTTGACCAGAATTATTGATATTTTTATAAAAAATATTAATTGATACTAATTATTATTTAGTACCAATTATTTTTTTAAACACAAAGTAAAATTTAGTTTTGCCTAAAATACTACAGTTATTATTAGTAAATATCATTAGCGAAAAAATAAAAATTATGTTAGTAACTTTTTTTAGAATTAGTTCTATTACTTTTGTATATAAATTTTTGAAATTGCCAAAACAAATCCAAGACGATTTGTTTTCATTGTGATTTTAATTTATTATTAATATTACTACTTGTAAAATATTTTTATCTCATGACAAAAATACTCAAAATTTGTACATTTGTATCTTAAATTATATTTTGGATTAATTAACTTCGTCAATATAAATATAATAAGTATGACTGCTGTTGTAAAATATGTATTTTATATGTATATTATAATAATTTTGTAAGTACTCGAGTTATTTTTATTATGACGTTATTTTTTAAAGTCATTGTTCCTAAAATGTTTTATCTAATCTCATATAATAGTCTTTATATGGTTATCTGAGAATTTTTTTATTATTATACGCAATTTTTATTGAAGTAATTCGATAAGTATTGAAGATTATGAAAAACGTATTACAAATTAAATAATTGTTAACAAAAAATACAACACAAAAACAAAATACAATTTTATATATCTTTATGAAAAATTTGAATTCAAAGTTTAAAGTTTAATACATTTTTAATATAAATTCAAACTTTGAAATTTTTAAATAAAACAAATTAAAGTGTTCTATTTCTACAAAAAGTTTCTATATTTAGTATAATGAAAAAATCTAGTTATTTTTTATCTTTACAATTTATAATTAATTCTAATATATTTTTGCATTTCTTTAATTTTGAAAAGCAATCAGAATTTAACAGTTTTATGAGTTTTTTTTATTTAAAAGTTCCACAATTTATATGATTTTCAGAATTAAGTGCAACTTTGCAACCCAATGGTTTTCCTTATCTGGATTTAAAAAAAATATTATGACAATTTTTGTATTACATATATTTTTAGTTATATCTAGCAATTTCAGGATATGGAGCTTGATACTGCTTGATATTAGGCTGTCCCAGGTAGGTATCGTACTTGAAACGATGTGGTTACAAGGCCAAGGCTTTCACTATTTAGCCACGATAAAGCCATAATTTTTAAATAAAATTACAAATATTATTTGTATTCAAAAAAAGCGTGGATAGTAGTCCATGGTTTTAACTTGATATTCTCAAATTGAATAAAATTCGTTCGAGAGTGATTTTCAGTCAGAAACAAAATTTTTAAATTACGAATCTCAAAAATTAGATTTCATAAATATTATTATACCTTAGAATTTTAATTCAAAATATTTTTTGTATTTCATAATCTCCCAATACGGAACTTTGTATTACGATCAAATTCGCAATAAATAACACAACAGAACCTTATTTATAATCGTTGAACGGATTATAATGAAAAAATTCGATAAGCACCATATTTATTCAGTATTTAACTGTCTTTATACAATAATAAACTTTATCAATGACCAAAAATTGTCTATTATCTATATCTTATCGAAAAATAAAAATTTCGATGGTGTAATCGCATCGGTAAAATATACATTGGCAATGGGCTACCATTCTTTGGGAAAAAATAGGTTGGAGTGGTTATTTGAATTTTTGGCTGTGATTGTAAAGGAAATATTATTAATATTATAAATGAAATATTAAGTAATATGTTTTGTTTGATATATGTTATTAGTGTTGTTAGTTTGTGACAAAATGTAGTGACTATAAAAGTGTGAAATTTAGAAGATTTTGTGGATTATAACAATATTTTGGTGAGTATTGTAATTGAATGCAAAACTCTGGATTTGTTATTATATATATACATAATTTTGATGCTGAGATATATGAATAATTATTTGAAGGCGATACATAAATAAAAGTTCATTTTCTAAGTGTTTCGATATAAAATTTTATGTCATCACCAATGGATTTTTTTATTTTATGTTCGGTTTAGATTCAATTAATTTAGTACTTCGTCGTTTTTTTTCAATATATGTATTTATTGTATTATATATTTGTATATTAAATTATTTAGTATAGTATTGTATATTTAATATAATTACAATTTTTATGATTACGAATATTTGATTTGATTTTGATGAATAACAATATTTGAATATATTTTTTTAAATTTCTGAAAACGACATAAAATTTTTAATTTGTATGCATTAGTTGAAACTAGAAAACATATACATAAATCTAATAAAAACTATTAAAGACATAAAGAAATTTGAATTAAGGACATTTTTGTGTATTTTTTAAATACCTTGATAAATTTCATTCTGTCTTTATGTTTATTATATCAGTAACAAGTAGATGAAATGTTCTAAATTTTCGTAAAACCTGTCATATACACGTGGATATTAAAATTTTGAATAATTTGTAGTTGAAATGCAAGTTTTAATATTTCCATAAATTTCAAAATAAGGATTTAAAATTTTTTTTTAGTTTTCTTTAAATAACTTTTAATTTTTATTTCGGACATAATAATTTTTTTACATTAGTAAAAACTAGATTAAATTTACTATAATGTAGTGCGAACTGTTATATATACTTGGATACTAAATTTTGAATAATTCGAAGTTGAAATCCGGAATTTAGTATTTTTATAATTTGAATACATGGATTTAATACACTTTTTTGCTTTTCCTTAAATAACTTTTAATTCTCATTTTGGGCAATATAATTTTTTTATATGAGTGCAAACCAGATTAAATTTAATAAAATTTAGTAAAATTTTTTGTATACACCTAGATAATAAAATTTTGAATAATTCGTAGCTGAGATGCGTACTTTAGTATTTCCATAATTTGTAATATATGGATAATATCTTAAAATTTTTATTTTCGGCATCTTATTTTGTTTGTGCATTAGCACAAACTAGATAAAATTTACTAAAATGTAGTAAAAACTGTTGTATTCACTTGGATATTAAAATTTTGAATAATTTGTAGTTGAAATGCAGACTTTAGTATTTTCATAAATTGCAACATATAGATTTAGAACATTTTTTACTTTTCTTCCATTATTTCTTATTTTACTCTTCATAATTTACACTAGCAAAACTAAATTAAAACTACATAAATTTATTATAAACTGTTATTTACACGTGGATATCAAAATTTTAAATAAAATGATTTATAATAGTATTAATTGAAGTGACACTGAACTATTCCAACTCTGTTATATAATGCTCTTATTAATTTTATATTATTTTTTTTTTAAATAAACCATTTTCATAATTTAAATCCCTTTGCTTCTCGTTTATAATAAAATATTGTTTATTTTGTTTTATTTTTGTTTAGTATATATTAAATGGCAATCAGAACATTTGTATTCTTTAAACCATTGGGCTATAATTTTGAACCCCAAATTAAAATATAATGAAGTCTAATAAAGGTTCAAAAAGACTTATGAAAATTAATTTATGTGAGTTTTATCCAAAGCTGTGTATTTGAGTGTGTTACTCAAAAAATGATTAAATACGGAAAAGCAGTCAAAAAATAATGCAGATACTTTATATATAACATTTACCATAGATATTTGCTGGTAAAGAATTTGTAATAAATGGAGATATATTTTTATATAATATTTTTACAACAAAGTTTTTTAGCTATTACTGAATTATTATTATTTTTTACTGAATTTTGTAGCAACATTACAATGTAATATCTTTTCTAAGCAATATTATAATATAATTCGTTAGAGATAATAAATATCAAGTTATTTCGAGAAAGACAGTAAAAAGTGTGTATATATATTAGATATATATTAAATGATATGTTCAAAGTTTATTAATTTTATAAATAATTGATTTTCCGTTATTCTATAATTTTTTATTAGCCATGGTTGTCTCCGAAGCCAGATTTATCCACGACAGTGACTCCGAGCCAGACGAGAAAGTACCTCTTACATCATATCTAAATAAAAATGGGTAAATTTACTTTTTAAATTAAATTTTATCATATATATATGTATATATATATATATATATATATATATATCTTATATTTTTAATATTTTTTTATAATTTAGTAAACATAATGAAGATGAAACAAAAGGTTGGGACGTGTTCGAAGATCCACCGATCAAGAAAGAAGTGGGTTCTTTGGTCAGCACTAGAAAATTCGAGATATTAACTAAAATTACTAAAGTTTTTGCATATATTCTTACATTTGCAATAGTATTAGGGGGTGGTATTATTTCCAAAGGGACTATGTTGTTTATGACGTCACAAATCAAGAAGGGACGGAAAATCGATCACTGTAATTTAGATATAGGTAAGAGGAAAATATATACATATAAATATATATATATATATATATATATATATATATATGTATATATATAAATTTTATCAGGGTCACATGGAGCATTTAGCCATCTACAACATGTCATAAAATAAATTTTTAATAACCGAGATTTTTATAATAAGTGAAACGTGTCATGTCTTAAAAAATACTTAAGACTTAAGATAAATTTATAAATTTTTTACAAATTTACTTTAATACAAAGGACAAATGTGCCTGACCCTGTTTTAGTGTTTTCCGCACTAAACAGAGGGTATACAGTATTGAAATTTTGCACTTTTTTTGAAAAAATTGATTTGTTTAGTATAATACAAGTACTTTCAACGTTTAACATTTTTATTTAATAACCGAGATTTTTTAAAAAATATAAACCAAACGCGTTATGTGTTGGAAAAATAAATTTAAAAAATTACTAAATTTTGTGTTTTTATAGTACAAATGTGCTCAAGCATGTTTTAGTGTTTTTCGCACTCAATAGATGTTAAAATTTATCACTATTTTTGAAAAATTGATATGATTAATATAATACAAATACTTTCAATGTTTAATATTTTTGTATTAAATATTTTTGTAAAAACGTCAAGAATTTAGCTGAAAATTTACTTTATTCGGGTATATTTTGTTCAAATTTTGTTTCTTCAAACTAATCAGGTTTATATTTTCTATATCATATATTTAGTTAATATTATATTTTATACTCGTATGTTTTGTTCGCATTTCATTTATTAAAATTAGTCAGGTTTGTCTTTTCTGTATTATATATTTACTATATTTATATACGACTTTATATATGAATCTTATCAAGAATTAAACCTAAAGGTAAATTTACGTGCTACAGATAGTGGCGCCTCTATGGAGTGCAAAAACAATTAAAATTATAGTAATAGAAAATCGGTTTATGTTATTAGGTTACCCATAATAATCTTCAAAAAAATGTTTACTAAATATTTTTATTTCTAGATCGAAAAAAACAGTTTGTATCTGTTTTACCCGAAGAACAGAGATGGGCCTGGGTTTGGGCCCTAATTTTTGCCTATATGGCCCCAGAAATAGGAACTTTTATAAGATCGTGCAGGATATGTTATTTTAAAACTTACAGGAAACCTAGTTTATTTAGATTTTTAGTAGTAAGTATTACAATTATATTCACACAAATAGACACAAATACATATATAGAAACTAAAAATCTCTTTTTTTCTTCAAGATAATATTTATTTAATTTTTTATAAGGGATGATTTTTTTTGGAAGTATTGATAATAAATGAAAAAAATATTATTTAACATTTAGAAACTTATTTGATTATTTTTAAACTTGAAAAATGCACTTTTTGATTTGTACTTTTTATTTAGATTTTTAGTCGTAAGTCCTCAAATAAAAAGACACAAATACATATATAGGAACTAAAAATCTCTTTTTTACTTCAAAATAATATGTATTCAATTTTTATGTGGGATGTTTTTATCTGGAACTTTGGATAACAAATTAAAAAAATATTATCAAACATTTATACTAATATTTGATTATTTTAAAACTTAGAAAATATTACTAATTGACTTTATAATAATAAATGTTATATAATATTTATTCATGCACCAAAAACTCGTTTGAAAATGCTTTGAGGAAAAAGGAGGTTTTTGGTTCAGAAATTTGAAAATCTTAGACAAATATTAATTTATTAACAAATTAAAATAATAAAATTATTTTTTCAATTATTTTAGGTTCTTGTTTTAGAAACCCTTCATACTTTAGGAATGGCAATTTTGGTGTTTGTAATTTTACCAGAATTGGATGTGGTCAAAGGAGCTATGTTGACAAATTGTTTTTGTTTTGTTCCATCAATATTAAGTAAATTTAGTTAACAAAAAATAACATATATTAATGATAATATATATATACATATATATATATATATATATATATATATATATATTATTTTCAAATTTTATTTCAGGTGTATTATCTCGTAACTTAAACAAAAGACGAGGACCCCTCTACATGAGTTTAGACGTTTTTGCAGTTTGTGCCCAAGTAAAAATATTAAATATTATATAAAATTTATTCAACAAATTATAGATAAAAATTATTTTTAGATTACAGGTTTTGTGGTATGGCCAATTTTAGAAGGAAAAATGGAATTGTACTTTATACCACTTGCTACAATTTTAATTTCGTGCGGATGGTGGGAAAATTATGCTCTGAATAAAAGCTCGATAGGTAAAAATAGAAAAAAATCAAATTAATATAAAGTTTAGTAGTAAAAGTAGATTTTAACATTTTTTCCAAATGTCTATTTTATACCAAATGGTAATCAAAATTATATTAAATTTTTTACAAATTTTAATACATATTATTATCATCTAATATGAAATTAGTCGTATTGAACAATTGTCTACTTTAAAATATTTATACAACAAATCGATATTAAAATTCATAATAATGTATATAAGTTGTGTACAAATTTTTAATAATTTATTTTCATTTAATATAAAATTTAGTCGTATTTATCTATTATCTATCTTGCAGGATTTTTTAAAATAATCGAAATCAAAATTCATACTAAATTTTATACATAGTTATTAGTTTTCAAAATATTAGTCGTAAATGATCAATTATTTTTTTAGGATTTATACAACAAATTGGTGCCTTCAAGGAAAAATTAATCCTAGACAGATATTTCACATATATGTTTGTCTCATTATGGAAATGTTTTACATTTCTAAGTTTTGCAATAATTGCTTTGTGGATACAAAATGAAAACATCAAAGATATGTTTACAATGTACAAAACAGGATTTGGTAAAAACCAATATATAATTAAAGAGGTAAGTAACAATTTTGAAGCATACTACTTAAGCATATTACTTACCACTGTGATTGACAAAAATACTCGTCATCGAAAATTTGCAGAAAATACTCGTCATCTTAAATTTTTTAGATTTATTCGAGGCTATGACTGTATAAAGTTATAGTATATAGTTGCATGCAGCACTTTACCTTAAGGCAAGCTGCATGAACTTCCAAAATTACGTAATAAATTATAAATTAATCATTAAAATTTGAAAATAATTTAGTTTCTCTCAAAAATTGTAATTTAAATAGCTAAAACTGATTTATACGCATTACTAGTATACGCGTCACCACACAAAATTGTGCGCCAATTTGCCATGACGTGTATACACGCCAATCACAGTTCACTAATATTAATACAATATAGGCATTTTTTTCAATAATTTTAATATAATTTGGTCGAAAATGTATATCGTTTTACTCCAAAGTTGTAATTCAAACATCTAAAACTTATTTATATGCGTAACGAATATACTCGTCAATACCCAAACTCTACTACTTTGTCATGAGGAGTAAATATTTTAAATACAATTGCCATGACAGTTCGATAATATTTATACAATTTTGTCAATTTTTTTAATTAATTTTAATATAATTTTAAGAAAATATATTTGGCATATAAAGAATAACATAAAAGTGAAGAGTAAACTCTTCAATTGACGTGTATATGCGTCAATGACAGTTGACTAATATTAATAGAATTTGGCGTTTTTGTTAAATATATTTATTATAATTTTCTCGAATTTTCAAGATAAAATTTTATATTTATATTTTTTATATATTATTATATAAGTAGAATAAAATAATAAAATTCCTTAGTAATTAAAATTTGCAAATATATTATATTTTTCCCAAAAATTGTAATTTAGACTTCTAAAATTATATTTATGACAAATATACTTTGCAAAATTCTGCTTATTTGTCATGACAAGTATACACGTCAATCACAGTTGACTAATTAATACAATTTTGTCAGTTTTCTAAAAAAAAATTGAATATAATTAACTTTGTCGTAATTTTTCTTATAAAATTATTAAATTTATACCATTAAACTTAGAAAATAATTTTGTATTTCTAAAAAATTGTAATTTAAATAGCTAAAAATGATTTATACACATGACGAATATACACGACAATACACAAAATTCTGCTTATTTGCCATGACGTGTTTTCACGCCAATTACAATATAACTAATACAATTGTGTCGATTTTAAAAATACATTTTTTGCATCACAAAAATCGTAATTTCAATAACTAAAATTGAATTATACGCATTACGAGTATACTCGCCAATACACTAAATTCTGCTTATTTGCCATGACGTATATACACGCCAATCACAATGAAATTGATATAAATACAATTGTGTCGAATTTGAAAATGAAAAATGCTGGCCCAAAATGATTTATTTTAATGATTTATGACGAGCATACACATCAACACAAAAAATATGTTTTTTATCACAAAATAACTAATTTTTAATACATTTTTAATACGATTTAGAAAATACATTCTATTTTCTACTAATATAAATATAAATATAAATACTAAATTCTCCGCCACTTTGCCATGACACGTCAAGGACAGTTGAACCAAATTAATACAACTTTTTCGTTTTCTAAATTTTTTATTCAATTTTATGCAGCAATCTCTATGAATTTTTACATTAAGTAGTGAATACTGTCTAATGTATATAAAAATAAGGTGATGTAATAATTTGGATATATTTTTTTTAGATAAGTCCCATAGTATCACCATCAGATCCCAACAACGGACAAAGCAAACACCAACTATTTCCTTCCCAAGAAAACGTCATAACATACGTCATCTTTATCCAAGTACTTTCTGCATACTTCAGTTACATTTTTGGAAAATTTGCCTGCAAAATTGTCATACAAACCTTCAGCTACGCAATTCCAGTTTGCCTAACAGTTCCTGCCTTGGTGGCAGGGTTGGTGTCGATGAGCGAATTACGTAATACAGATCCTTGTTATTATCATGGAATTATACCGGATTATTTATTCTTTAATAGTCCAGCTCTGTACTCGTTTTCTGAATATATTACCCAGCAACATGCCTGGGTTTGGATTTTGTGGTTGATTTCACAAGTTTGGGTAACTTGGCACATTTGGACGCCCCAGAGCGAAAGATTGGTGCCTACTGAAAAGTTGTATGTGACGCCTATGTATAATGGGTTGCTGATTGATCAGTCTTTGGCTATGAATAGGAAACAAGATGATGTACCACCAGTAAGTAAAAAAAATATAGACATGCTAAAATTTGTTTCAAACTACTATTTCTATTACTATTGCAGCGTAAACATATACAAAGGCCGAAAAATATTGATCCTGAAGTTCAACTTCGTAGAAATCGTGTGCAAGAAGATGAGGCTGAAAAAGCACCTTCTGAAAAAACTTCTAGAATTATTGTTTGTGGCACCATGTGGCACGAAACTAAAGACGAGATGATAGAATTTTTAAAATCTATTTTAAGACTGGACGAAGACCAATGTGCTAGGAGATTGGCCAATCAATACTTCAATCACTACGACAATGATTATTATGAAGTTGAAAGTAAGATGATGGTTAGGGTTTATACAAAAACCGATATTTCAGAAAACCGGTTTTCAAATTTTCATTTTATTAAAAAACCGGTTTTACCCGATTTTCGATTTTTATATAGAAAATAAATTTTTGCTCGAATATTCTGTAATTTGTCCGCGAATTTAGTGTAATTTAGAGCAGTATTTGCCTGAATTTATTTATTGTTCAATTTCATAGATAATGAACAAAATTATTTTAATTTTAATTAGTAGAACTAAAAAATAATAGTTTATCTTGATTAAATAACTTTGAAAATAATTATTCGTTATTCATGCATCATTTTCACATATAAGAATGAAAATATTTTTATGATAGTGAAAGGAAAGTATTCGAATAAATAAAAATAATACATTTTTAAATAAAAAAAAGTTATTAAATAAAAAAAAAATAAAAGAATATTAGATACATGTTGATACATACTTGTTAATATGAATTTTAGTTTTAAAAACAATTAAGCTAAACTTTTATTTCTGTTCCGAGCTATTTTAATTAATTAATTTTAAATATTCTAATTATTTTTTATTTAATAAAATATGATTTAAAAAAACTGAGAACGTCTATCGAATTGCTACTTAGACATGTCCTTTGTTTACTCACAAAATTTCCTGAAATAGAAAATACTCTCATACTTGCGACCAAATTATGCTTAATTGTTTTTAAAGCCTGATATAATAATTCTAAGTTTTTTGTTCTTTAGTTTCTGTTTTTAAGTTTGAGTATAGGAAGTTACTTCTTCAAGAAGAAGTCACACTGATTTAAATTAAAATATACTCTGGTATAAAAATCTAAATTAATATTAGGTTGTCAAATATCTCCCTTCCGCCTTTTTGTATTATAAACCAAGAGCAAAAAAGCGGAAGGGAGATATTTGACAACCTAATATATAAAAAACCTTTCTGGGGACCATTGCAGACTGATAAGATATCAAATGCTATTGAACCGATATGATTTCAAGAATTAAAACGCTTTCATTTATCTTTTATATTTGGCTATATTTGTCATTTTCCATTTATACAGTGAAAACCGACTTTTTTCACTAAAAAACCAGTTTTCAAATTCCATAATTTTCGCCAAAAAACCGGTTTTTGAAAACCGACAAACCCTTATGATGCGTTTGTTTGTCAAATATCTCCCTTCCGCTTTTTTGCTCTTGGTTTATAATACAAAAAGGCGGAAGGGAGATATTTGACAACCTATTATAAGTAATACTGTGTTTTTGTTCCAGCTCATATTTTCTTCGACGATGCCTTCACAATCTGCAAAGACAACCCTGAAAATACTCAAATCAACTCATTCGTCAAACTTTTAATCAACACAATGGACGAGGCTGCTTCGGAGGTTCATCAAACCCACATTCGAATTAAACCACCAAAAGCATATCCCACACCTTATGGAGGTAGATTAATTTGGACTTTACCAGGAAAAACTTTGATGATTGCCCATTTGAAAGACAAAGATAAAATTAGGCATAAGAAGAGATGGTCTCAGTGCATGTACATGTATTATATGCTGGGTTATAGGTTGATGGACTTGCCGATACCTCAAGAGAAAAAGGATCTTTTGGCTAAAAATACTTATTTGTTGGCCTTGGATGGTGATATTGATTTTAAACCGCAGGCTGTTTTGTTATTGATAGATTTGATGAAGAGGAACTCTAATTTGGCAGCTGCTTGTGGACGTATACACCCGATTGGATCAGGTACTGAATTAGATTAAGTTAGGTACAATATTATTAACTTAACATTCCATTTTTTATTTTATTTTAACTTTTTTTCATTTTATATTTAATTTTTTGCATTTATTTGTATTTTTGTATTTTATTTTACTCATATCAATTTTGTAAATAAGACATTAAAGTCTTGATTAACAAAAATAAATTGTAACAAAAAATATGTATATATAAGGTATGCCAAAATGTTCGGAAGGTTTTGAAATGTAAAAATATATAAAAATTTTCATTTTCGATTTTTTTGTGATTACTATAACTTACCCTATAGTTATAGTAATCGCAAAAACATCGAAAATGAAAATTTTTATATATTTTTACGTTTCAAAACCTAGCATTTTGGCATACGTTAGAAATAATTGATGTGTGTGTGTGTATGTATGTGTGTGTGCGGATACAAATTTCTCAATGAAAAAAGTTACAAAAATGCTATTTGGCGGTCAAAAATGTTCATTAGACATATTTGCACATCAAATGATCAAATATTTAGATCCAATATTATTAACTTAACATACATCAATTTTTTATAAGGTATGCCAAAATGTTCCGAAGGTTTTGAAACGTAAAAATATATAAAAAATTTCATTTTCGATTTTTTCCCGATTACTATAGCTTACCCTATAGTTATACTAATCGCAAAAAAATCGAAAGTGACAATTTTTATATATCTTTACGTTTCAAAACCTTCTAAATATTTTGGCATACCTTATAAAAACTTGATGTATGTGTGTGTGTATGTTTGTGCGGATACAAATTATCGTCAACGATTTCCGACGGATCAACCGATATAAATAATTTCAAAAACATTCGATTCGTATTGATAAAGAGACGTGCTGATTAGTTTTTGGCATAGGCAGGTCTAGCAGTTTCGAAGATATGGTGCAGAAACAACCTAAAATCGTAATTGATTTTTTGAGAGAACGGGGCGTTCGATTTGATTAATTCAAAAAATATTTTGTTTGTATTGACTAAACGAAGAACTGTTTAAATTTTTGGAAAGACAGGTTCAGCCGTTATGAACTCTCTATAAAAAAAAGTTTAAAAAATGCCATTTTTGGCGGTCAAAAATGTTCATTAGACATATTTGCACATCAAATTATCAGATATTTTATAGGTATTTTAATAATGTGTACACATTTAGTGTCAAATTTTTTGGGTTCCGTACCAAGATAACCAATAATTAACTAATAATAAATAATAAACGATTTGAATGATTGAAAAAACATTCGGTTTCTACTCGATCACAAGGCGTTTCTGCAAAAGGCACATCTTGCCATTCCGGAGGTATGGAGTGCAAAGGGTGTAAAAATTGTCATGCATTTTCTGAGATAACGGATCATCCGATTAGATTAATTCAAAAAACTTCTTGCTTGTGTAGACGGTGTGCAAAAAATGGTAGTTTTGAAATTTTCAAAAAAAAATTCTGAATTTAAAAAAAAAATCAAATTTTCATAAATCTCATATTTTCGAAATTTTTCATTTCGAAAAAATCTAAATTTTGAAAAATATCAAAATTAAAAAAAAATGATTTTTTTCAAAAATTTGGGAATATTTTCAAAAAGTTCTAAAATCTCAAAAAAAATATCGATTTTTTTCAAAAATTCCAAAAAATTTCGAACTTATAAAAATTTTTCAAATATTTGAAGAAAATTCAAAATTATGAAAAAAATCAAATTTATAAAAAAATTGGGACAAATTTCTTGTAAACATACACATAAGTTGTTTGCAGAATATGGTTGTCGCCCAATTTAATAAGCACTTTTAAATTTATAATGAATAACTTATTTGAAATGATTTAAAACAATTATTGGTTATTTTTATTCCTCAAATTTTTAATTACGGGAAGTACTTGCAATTTGACTTAAGGCACAATACCATGCATCACTAGTTCTAAATTTATTTCATTTACCCAGGTCCTATGGTTTGGTACCAGAAATTCGAATACGCCATCGGACATTGGTTGCAAAAAGCAACAGAGCACATGGTAGGTTGTGTACTTTGCAGTCCTGGTTGTTTTTCGTTATTCAGAGGTGAAGCACTTATGGACAAAAATGTTATGGCAAGGTACACCATGAAATCTAGCCAAGCCAGACATTATGTGCAGTATGATCAGGGCGAAGATCGTTGGCTTTGTACTTTATTGCTACAAAGGGGTTGGCGTGTTGAATATTCAGCAGCTAGTGATGCCTATACACATTGTCCAGAAGGTAAAAAAGATAAATATTACAAAATTACTGGAACTTACTCAGACAAGTTCATTTTTTGTAATTATTTTTCATTAGGGTTCAACGAATTTTACAACCAAAGACGTCGTTGGATTCCCTCAACCATGGCTAATATTTTTGATTTGTTGCTTGATGCAAAACGAACCATCAAGTCCAATCCAGATATATCAGGCTTGTATATATTTTACCAGATTATACTGATGGCTGGCAGTATTTTAGGTCCTGGTACAATATTCCTGATGCTTGTTGGTGCTTTCAATGCTGCCTTCAAAATTGACAACTGGGATTCTTTGCTATACAATTTGATTCCTTTGCTGATTTTCATGTTTGTTTGCATACTGTGCAATTCTAAAATACAGGTAAGGGTGAAATCAACAATTTCAACCAAATTTGTATTACTGAACTAGATGACCCGACAGACGACGTCTTGTACTAATGTCTACATTTTTTTAATATAATATACTAATATTTACCGTTTACCTAAAAATAATAATTATTGTTTTTTAAATTACTCTTCACGGCAAAATGCATATACATTTATAATATGAGCGATATGTTAAATGTAGAATTGCTTTAAATAAAATGATGAGTCTCAATTCTCACACTATATTGGGAATTGAAGTCTTTTAAACGGTAACATAACACTGGTACTTCATGTTGGATTAAATTAATTTAATTATTTATTATTTAAGATATCCAAAATTGCATCTTAAACTTCTCCTAATCGATATCGTGAGGGCCGAATTTTATGTATTCATCTTTCCTTTCCCATTTGTTGTTTTAAAGTCAAGTTTTTACGAGTTTTAAAAATATTGTGGAAAGATTAGTAAAAGATGCAAAGAAATTAGATATTAAAAAAACTATATTAAAAATTTATTATTCGAATCTTGTGTTGGCGCCCCCTAAGGCGTGCGCTCGTATTTTTCACAGGCGAAGTGATTTTAAGTGAATTAATTTGTCAAATCCTGTTCATATGGGTATCATTCAATCTGCCATACATATACTGTATTTTATATTATTTTAACTTCCGGCACATCTCAGCTGCTTTTTGACAATAATAAAGTAGACATTTCATTTTTCTTATTCATAGTCATAAATTTATTATACATATTTATTATAATATATTACATTTATTATATATATTGTCTAGGCTCATAAAAAAATTTAAATTTTTGGCAGATGATATTTAAATGTGTGTGTGTGTTCTGTATGTCCGCATTTTTTCATCCACGTTTTCGGGCGCACGGATCAACCGATTTGAATGGTTTAAAAAACATTCAATTCCTATTGATAGGGAAATGTGCTGATTAGTTTTTGGCAGAGGTAGGCCCAGCGATTTCGGAAATACAGAGCTTAATGCTTAATTAAGCGTCCGATTTAAATGATTCACAGAACTTTCTGCTTGTTTCAACAAAATAATTGCTTTTGGAATAAAATTTGTTTCTAATTTTTTTTTCAAAAAATATTTTCTTAATTTTGGATTAGAAATTCAAAAAGCACCCAGCTAAGCACAGTCTATGCGCCACTCTGGTACAAATGTTCACCCAACTGCGTTTAGACTGTTAATGTATGGAACACTTTTCCAATTTTTTGAAAACTATTGAAAAATGTGAAAATGCCGCTAATCTAAGCACAGTATAAGTGAAATCGTCGCACTGAATTATTTACAAATGGGTTTAGACTGTGAGTATACGGGAGCACTTTTTCAATTTTGGGTAAATTAGGCAACTTTTTTATTTTGAAATTGAATTCGAAATGAAATGACGATTGTTAATGTTCTGGAGATAAATTGATTGATTTATGATTTACATTTGATTTGCTCAGATATAACAGGGCAGCAAAAATAATGAAAGTTACAGTATTTGTAATGATATATTTGAAAACGTTTAAAATTTCTCGAATATTTCATTACGGTACGGGAAGTTTCAGCAATTTGCCCTAAGGCACGATGCCATATACCACTAGATTCTTATTAAATTTTATGTTTCAGTTATTCTTTGCTGGTCTGATTAGTACAGTATACGGTTTGGTCATGATAGCAGTAATAGTTGGCCTGATGATACAGATCACAGAAGATGGCCCTTTAGCACCATCATCATTGTTCTTTTTCATAGTTGCTGGTGAATTGATAATTGCAGCCATAATGCATCCTCAAGAAGTCGGATGTTTGCCTTATGGCTTAATTTATTACGTAACAGTCCCCAGTATGTACATGTTACTGATCATTTATGCTGCTTTCAATATGAATGATGTCTCTTGGGGAACTAGAGAAGTTGTGGTGCCTGCTGGGAAAAAAACAGCCAAGGTAATAAATAGACAATTAAAATTTAATACTTTGTATTGAGTATTTTTTATTTTCTTTAGCAACTCGAGGAGGAGAAAAAAGCCTTGGCACTGAACAAAAAGGCATCGACAACCGACAAACTTTTGGGACTTTTCAAGACAAATCAAACCAAAGAAGAAGAAGGTTCTTTTGAACTATCTTTTGCCGGATTGTTCAAATGTTTACTTTGTACCCACGAAAAAAATTCTGAAGAAAAAATACAACTGATGCAAATCAATAACACCTTGAACTCTGTTTCTAGGAAGTTGGAACGCCTTGAAAAGTATGAACAAAAATGATGTAATTATTGGTATAATTAATTTCCCGTAGAGTAGTTATAGTAATGGTACGACAATCGAAAATGAAAATTTTTGCATTTCTCGACGTTTTGAAGGTTTCTGAACATTTTGGCATACCTCAGAAAAACGGATGTGTGTGTGTTTTGTATGTCTGCATTTTTTCGTCCACGTTTTCGGGCGCACGGATCAACCGATTTGAATGGTTCAAAAAACATTCGATCCGTATTGATAGGGAGATGTGCTGATTAGTTTTTGGCAAAGGCAGGTCCAGCCGTTACGGAAATACGGAGCAAAGAGTGCAGAAAATACAAATCGAGTTTTTGAGAGAACGGAGTATCGGACTTGAATGATCTAAAAAATATTCAATTTTTAATCATTGGGAGAAGAGTTGATTAGGTTTTGGCAAAGGCAGGTCCCTTCATTTCGAAGATACAGAGCTAAATATGCTAAAAATGGCAGTTTTTGAGTGCTTGTATTGACAAAACAATTGCTTTTGAAGATAAAAAATAATTACGTAATCTTGGATTAAAAATTAAAAAAATTACCCAGGCTAAGCACAGTCTAAGCGCCACTCTAAATTAGGCACAAATGTTTACCCAAGTGCGTTTAGACTGTTTATGTACTGGAGCACTTTTCCAATTTTGTGAAAACTATTGAAAAATGTGAAAATGCCGCCAAGTTAAATACCGTATAAGTAAAAATGTCGCACAGAATTATTTGCAAATGCGTTTAGACTGTGACTATACGGGAGCACTTTTTCAATTTTGTGTAAATTAGGCAACTATTTTTTTGAAATTGAATTCGAAATGAAATTATGATTGTTAATGTTCTGGAGATAAATTAATTTATGATTTACATTTGATTTGCTCAGATATAACAAGATAGCCAAAATAATGAGAGTTACAGTACTTGTAATAATATATTTGAAAACGTTTAGAATTTCTCGAATATTTCATTATGGTACAGAAAGTTTCAGCAATTTGCCTTAAAGCACGATGCCATACACCACTTGTTTTATTTAAATTTGTTTTTCAATTTAGAGCTTCTGATCCTAATTCTGGTAATCGTAGACGTACAACTTTAAATAATTTGAGAAGACAAAGTGGTTTACCACCGATTCCTCCTGAGGAAGATGTTGAAGTTAGTATGACTGAAGACAGTGATGATCAACAAGAAGAAAAACCAAAGGTGATACAAATTTATAATTCAATTTTGCTGTTACTAATTTAGATATTTTAATTTTAGGTAGTACGTGATTTTCTTCAAAACCCATTTTGGATTGAAGACGACCTTCTGCAAAAAAGCCAGATCGATTATCTCCCTGAGGAAGAGAAAACTTTTTGGAAAGATTTGATCAAAAAATATTTGGAACCTATTAAAAAAGATGAGGAGGAAGAGGTTAGTAATGCCTTAAATATGTAACTGTTAAGGGGCACAACTAGTGTGAAATTTAAAAAAAATCGAATTTTCAATTTTTACATATTTCGATAGGTTATACCTTTAAAAATAATATACCAAAATTTTAAATCGATATCTTAAATAGTTTTTGAGTTACAGCCTTTTAAATAGTATATACATATAATATATAGTATAACGATCATTTAATCTTTAAACGCGTTTTGCTCTAAACAGCATTTTCCGAATTTGCTGCAGCGATTACTCAAAAACAAATGATCCGATCACTACCAATTTTTTTTGTACATGTTCTATATATAGTTCTCCGTAAAATGAACTATCGATTTTTTGATCGGATCAGAAATCGAATTTTGGCGGTCCAAAAACGACCAAAATTTTGGGTAAAATTCGACTTTTTTTTAAAAAACGCCGTCATTTTGTCAATTTTCGATTTTTTCCTTTATGGTAGTTCATTTTACAGACAATATTATCTAGTTTAACGAGATTTTTTTTTTAAATTTCATCCACGTAGAAGGCCGGAATCACTGCAGCAGTGAAGGGCCTTTTTTGTCTTAAATAACTTAAAAAATATTTAATTTTTTTTTTCAAAAATTTTACTATGTTTTCTTAAAACATGTATAAATATATTCCTAAAATTTTGAAATGATTGATAAAGTAGTTTTTTTAATATAAATTCCCAAAAATCACCTTTTTTAGGCGGTTACACTAGTTGTGCCCCTTAAGTTCTAATGAGTCAATTTTAATTTTAGAAAAGAATCAAATCCGATTTGAAGGATCTCCGAGACAAAGTGGTATTTGCATTTTTTATGCTAAATGCATTGTTTGTATTAAGTATATTTTTATTGCAAGCAAATAAAGATTTACTGCACATCAAGTGGCCACTTGGTGTCAAAAGTAATGTTACATATGATGATGGAGTTAAAGAGGTAAATACTGCCAATATTGCAAAACTGTACACAATTTTAAATAACAATATTATTTATTTTTAGATCACAATTTCTAGTCAGTATTTAGAATTGGAACCAATTGGTGTCGTATTTTTAGTATTTTTTGCCCTAATTCTGGTTATACAATTTACTGCAATGTTGTTCCATCGTCTGGGAACTTTGTCACACATTTTAGCAATAGCTAAATTAAATATCAGATCTCCAAAGGAAAAGGTATACATCCATATTCCAAAAACATTATATTTGGTTCTATATTTGTTTTACCATTTTTGTAGAAAAAGATGGGTAAAGAAATTACAGTAGGATCTGATATGGTGGAACTGGCTCGTCGTATGATGAGTCTAAAATATGCCAATGAAGTCGATGTTGATGAAGATGAAGAACCTGCAGGAAGACGAAAAACTGTTCATCATTTGGAAAGTTTGAAAAATAAACGGGAAAAAATCTGGCGACTTGAGGATGCTTTTAATCTTAGATACGAAGATCCTAAACTTACAGGTAAGGAAGAAAATATTATGAACTATGACTTGGTTACTATTGCATTCTTGTGTTCAAATTTTAGATAACAAGAAAGTTTTCAAAGATCTACGAATCAGTTCGAGAGACCTGGAGATTTTTGAAAAACGCAGGACGACTGTTTTTGAAAACCGAAAGTCTCAACTTATGGCTTTACAAGAAGAGGTAAGTTGGTAATGAATATTTTACGTGTGTTTTTAATAATATTAAGAATTTTTTTTTGTATATTTGGTAATAAATTTATCTCGTGTGTTTTTATCATTTTTGTATTTTTTTAATTTAGGTGGAAGCAATTAATGGTGGCCCTCCTGGAAATAGCAACAGCGATTTACGAGAAAGACGAAGTGCCTATGAACCTTTCTATCCTGATCCTGATGCACCCAGGCCAAGTAAAGTTAAATTTGGAGATCAATAATTGTATATATACGAATAATATAGTATTATAATAATATAACACTTTGATTTTTATTTTTATATATTTTTTGTTAATTATTTAATTAGTTTTATTCTGGTATATCATTTTTTTCTGGTAGCTATTTTATAAATATTTCACAATATCGATTTCGTTCGTATCTTGAATAAGTTTACACCGAAAATAGTAGATCACACAATTCACAGATAGCACTAACGTTTTGATGCAAGAAATACAAATCTTTTTCCAAAAGAACGTATAAAGATTTTTTATAAAGATATTTGATTAAAAGTTTAAAGGCATTCATGAAAAATACATAAATAAATAGTGTATAGTGCACTTTGTTAATGTAATTGAAATGTAGTTTCTCTCAGTACAATTTCTCTATTAAATGATTTTTTAATTATTTTATTTATAACTTTGAGTAGTATTTTTTAATTAAATCAATAAATGTTTGTATGCTAATAGCATTTGTTTTATCAACATTTATAACATTCAACATTTTTATACTATATACAACGTTTTTTATTTAATTATTTGTTTCTTTTTCTAAATATAAATTCGTATATCTAATTCTCTTCATGGAATTTTCAATGATTTTTATAAAAATCTATTAAACTTTTATTTTTCATATTAAATTTTATTTTTTTAACTTTCCATAACTGTAATTGTCTAAAAATCAAAATGAACATTTTTACTTATTTTTATGGAAATGTGTTTGTGTATGTATGTATGGATACAATTTTTCGTCGACGATTTCGGGAACACGGATCAACCGATTTGAATGATTCAGAAAGTATTCGGTTTATATTGATGGGGAGACTTGCTGATTAGTTTTTTGCAAAGGTAGGTCCAGTCGTTTTGGAGATACGTAGCAAAAAGTGTAGAAAATAGAAATTCGGGTTTTGCGAGAATGGGGCATCCGATTAGAATGATTCAGAAAGTATTCAGTTTATATTGATAGGGAGGCTTGTTGATTACAAAGGCAGGTCCCGTCGTTTTGGAGATACTGAACAAAAAGTGTAGAAAGTAGAAATTCGGGTTTTGCGAGAACGGGAAATCCGATTAGAATGATTCCGAAGGTATTCGGTTTGTATTGATGGCAATTTTACTCATAACTAGATGACCCAACAGACGTTGTCCTGTACCCATGTCTACAATTTTTTAATATAATATACTAATTTTACCGTTTACCTAAAAATCATAATTATTGTTTTCTAAATTACTCTTCACGCCAAAATGCATACACATTTATAATATGAGCGATGTTAAATGTAGAACTGCTTTAAATAAAGTGATGAGTCTCAATTCTCACACTATATTGAAAATTGAAGTCTTTTAAACGGTATAACATAACCATAACCATAACATAACACTGGTACTTCATGTTGGATTAAATTAATTTAATTTTTTATTATTTAAAATAACCAAAATTGGATCTTAAACTTCTCCTAGTCGATATGGTGAGTGCCGAATTGTACGTACTCATCTTTACTTTTCCATTTGTTGTTATAAAGTGAAATTTTTGCGAATTTTAAAAATATTGTGGAAAGATTAGTAATAGATTCAAAGAAATTATATATTGAAAAAGAAAACTATATTGAAAATTTAATATCCGAATGTTGTGTTGGCGCCCCCTAAGGCGTGCGCTCGTATTTTTCGCATGCATAGCATTAAAAGTAGGACCGGCTCTGATTAATACTTAATTTCATATTTCAAGTGAATTAATTTGTCATATCCTCTTGATATGTGTATCATTCAATCTGCCATACATATACTATATTTTATATTATTTTAATTTCTGGCACATCTCAGCCGCTTTTTGGCAATAATAATGTCAAATTCATAATCATAAACGTATTATACATATTCTAATATTGTGTAGGTTCATAAGTAAATTGAAATTTTTGGCAGATGAAAGTTTTCATTTGTTTTCAATGCAAACAATAAGGACATGTCGTTTTTTGCAATGTTTTCCATTTATGTCTACAATATTGCACATACATCCCAGTTCTTTATAATCACATACATCCTAGAAAATTCCCTTAACAAATTTCAGAAAGATTTATCAAAATCCGAATAATCGTTTAGAAGGAGTATACAATGAGCGCTTGTAATTTAATATGAACTTTATATAATAGTTTTAAATTTTAGTTAGAAAACGTTTGTATGAGAAAAAGAAAAGAGCTGTTTCTAGAGTTTTCCCGGCAATTATTCGATTTTTTCTCGCCGTAAGAACCATCCTTGGACTTGAACGAACATTTTAAAAAAAGAATTGGCCAAATTGGTCCAGGTTTTGTTGAGTTATGCGCTTACCAACACATTTTGCGATTCATTTTTATATATAAGATTATACCATAATATTATAAACAAAAAAATACAAATTAAGGTAAAATACTTAGATCCGTTCAAATTCCGATAAGAATCAAATAAGAATCTCACTCAGTTCCTTCCCTTCCCAATTTCTTCCCGTCGATCCTTTACTATGTCCTTTCCCCAACGCATGCGCCCTGACTCCTGCCCCGACCACGTTGCCGTCTTCAGCGTCCGTCGGCCGCCGCCGCCGTCAGTCGCCGGTTCGCAGGCCTGACGAACGCACGTTTCCCCGGTTGAGTCAGTTGTCAGTTCCCGTCAAAACGCGCTCGTTGCTCTGTTATTACTATCAAAACATCCTCCGGATACAAACTTACCTGAAATTGTTTATTTTTATTTTTTTATTTTTTATTTTTTACAATGTGATTGATAAAAGTGTGATTCGCGAATGATATTGATTTATTTATATAGATGACATTATGGAAAATACATATCGGAAATTTAGTGAAGTGATCAATAGTTTCTTATTGTACAGGAAGTCGGTTCTGAAATAATAGTGGTGATATGATTTGGAGAAGTTCGGTGCTGATTGTCAAGTTAGAAATTTGATTTGCATGATTTGTTCAGGCGAAGGTATGTGGATTTTTGGATAAAGTTTGATTGACATTTTGACGTTTGTGAAAAATATTTAAATTTTATTTTATATTAAATTTTAAATATTAAACTTATATATATATATATGTATATATATATATATATATATATATATATATATATATATATATATATATATATATATATATATATAACGTTCTGGACTGGTTGCCCAAGTAACTATATGTAGTAACTATATATATAGTAACGTTATAGTTATTAGAAACCACTGATTAGACTTTTCTGTTTATTTTTATTTTTTGTATATAAAGTAGGTGTAAGGTATTATTGGTATAATGATGTATTTCTAGGCCGTTAGGCTGAAATAAAAATAAATAATAATAATAATAATAATATATATATATATATATATATATAATTCTTTTTGGAACATTTAATCCAATAAATAAGTTTTTTCAAGATGTTAAACTAACAAAATACTTAAATAATTAAAATTATTTCCTTTTACCTATATTAATCATTAATTTGGTTACTGAAGAACTTTGAAATAAATCATTAGAGTAATTATGTACCTTATGTAAAAAATGAAGAAACTTGAAAATTTTAATTTTTTTTTTTAAGTTTAAAGAAATTGTGAAACAAAAATTGTTCTGCATCTGACCTATGAATTCCTATACTCATTCATCAATTTTTTATATCCTTTAATTTTCTAATGTTTTTTTACATAATGAACATAATCCATTACTTTAACAGTTTTGAATCATTATGTTAACATTATTTTGAAATTATACTGTTTTGACTATGCAATCTCTTGCATTCATATATTTTAAACAAATAATTATCATATACATTTGAATATTGTTTGTTAAATGGTACAATATTGAACAAATTTTGATTTGCATAACATATTTGAATATTGCAATGTTGTTGAATTAAATTATAATGTATTATAGTTTTCAAATATTTTGTGTGTAATGTAAAAATAATATAATAATAATAATGGGTAGTACTGTCCTAGGGCAGTATAATAATAGTATAATAATAATATATAAATAGTTAACTTATTACTCATAAAAATCTTAAGTTTGGAATATTGTATTACATCAAATTTGTTCAATATTTGAAATTCATATAAATTTTCTTAAATTGTATTAAAGTTAATTGTTGTCAAACTATATTCTATATATCATAGACAACTTATTACAATGTTAATATATCATAATATAAATTAAATTGGATTCCAATTGGGCAAAATAAATTATTTACAATAACTTAGTACTAGAAATTTATCAGAAAATTATAAAATCCGACTTTTTACTAGAAAATATCAATTTCACTCACTCACTTTTAAAAAAAATCACTTTAAAAAAATTGGAAATGGTAAATGTATCAGATTGTTAAAAATAGAAATTTGCGATAGCAATATTCTGTTTCCTAAAATTAAATATCATTAAACAAAACTTAAATAGTATATTGAATTATTTATTAAAATTTCCCGGAATAGAAAATACTTGGTCCTTGGCTTTGATTTTAATTTACATCATATGATACACAGTTATATTTTTTTTAAGTATTCTATCTGAATTTTATAATATACTTTTTTTAGAAAATAGTATAGTTAATATAAAATTATTAAGAAAAAATATTTTTTATTTATTCGAACCATTTGCTGAATACCACTTTTTATTATCATAAAACTATTAAATTTATTATTATTAAAATTTAACAGTAAATAATCAGACAAAAACAAATTTTATATACACTTTTTTAGTTTTAATTTTTAATAGTGATGTAGTTAAATAAATGATTTTTAGGATGTCGATTATATTTTGTATTTTATAGTACGGTTCTGTATTTTAATACTTTACAAACGTAAATAAAAATTTTATATTTGTTATCAAAGAGCAGTTAAAAAAATATTTTAGTTGCGGGCATCCACGGAATGTTGAATATGTAAACATTTATGTATTCGTAAACATGCTAATTATATTAGTATGTACTTGTACCAGTAAGTGAGATCATGAATATGTTGAAAAGAATTTCTATTAAATAGAAATTATTATTTGCTAATATTT